GTGGTGCGTGGTGGGGGTTGTGGTAGTCTACCTTATCTTATATTGGGCTCCTTTTTCCAACGGAAAATAACCATTATATGGTCAAAAATATACACAAGCCAAAGAAAAAAAAAAAACAACAAGTAAAAGTCAAGAAAACACGCTCAAACGCGACTCCCCAGCTTCCCACGACTTGCCCCTGGCCACTTCCCCGGCACCGGCAGTCCTCCCGACCGGAAGCGGCCTGGGGTGGCGCTCAGCGCCTCCGTAACCGACACCTGGTGGCCGGCGTGGAAGGGCATGAGGTGGGCCGAAGCGCGGTAGACGGGGGGCTTCTTGGGTTTTGCGGACGGCGGCTTCGCGTACTGGGGTTTGTTGGTCTCGCGGACGATGTTGCGCAGCTCGTCCTCATTGTTGCAGATCTGCGCGCGGATGAAGCGGGCCTCGGCGGCCGGGTCGGCGGCGGCGGACTCGGCGGCGCGCAGTTGCTGCATGATGGGGACGCGCGGGGTGTAGGGGATAGCGTCGAGTTTCAGGTCGGCGGTCATGTCTTGGGCGAGGCGGGCTAGGTCGCCCTTGGCCAGGAGGTCCGTAATGTCAATGCTCTCGCCGGGCGGGATGGGGATCGGGGTTGGACGGGGTCACGCAGTCCATGTCAACCCTCCTTGCGCAGCACCGTGTCGATGTCGACGGCCGAGAAGAAGGCGCAGCTCTGGGGAAGGTCCTGGATACCGACCTGTTGGGCGAACATGACGCGCGTCCAAAGATTGGCGACCTGCAGCCGCCATGGCGGCGCGGTACTTGTCGTGGTCCCTTCACCAGGTAGCGGATTTCGTCGTGGACGGGTTATGGCGGAGGCGGGCGTGCCAGGTTGATAGCGCCGGGTGAGTGTAGTCCATGGCGACGACCAGGAGGTGCAGGTAGTCGACACCGCTCGACTGGATTGCCCAGTTGATGCGCGACGTGAGGTAGCCACCCTTGCGGATGAAGCGGCTGTTGAGCGCCTCAGTAATGCCCGCGCCGAGCACGGGAGTGCGCGGGTGCTCTTGCTCGGCGAACTCCTCGAGCTTGTTGAAGACAAACGACTCGGTGCCGCCGCGCCAGAAAGTGCGCTTGTGGAGGACCCTACGGTTGGTCTTGGTGCCCTTGGTGGTGGCGTAGAGCTTGGTGGCGATCTGCAAAGTCTCTGTCTCGCTGAGGCTGGGGTTAAACTGGCGGAGGAGCTGGGCAGCGAACTTCAGGCCGGCGCCGTAGATGCGACCGTAGTTGAAGATCTTGGCGTCGTTCCGGGTGATACCGAGAATGGACGCGGTCCGGCTGTGAAGGTCGGTCCCGGCGGCCTTGGTGCCTTCGAGTGTCATGAAGCCGATGGCGTTGCCGCCGTGGATTCTGAAGGTGGAATCGCCTATCACGGAAGCGATCCAGAGTTCCTCCGAGTCCACGTCGGCGCCGACAAAGACATAGCCCGGAGGAGCCCTGACCATAGCCTTCAGCTCCGAACCAACACGATTCTTCTTGGCGTTGGAGGCCGTCAGCCACGTATTTTCGACAGCGCGGCGGGTGATGGTGCCCATGGGGATGATCTGGGGCAGAATGAAGCCGCCGACCGGTTCGCCGCTTGTTGATTCCTCGCTGGTTTGGGCGGACTTGCCAGCAGTGGATGGTAATTGGTCCTGGTACACTACTAATTGGGACTTGATCCTCTCCCGCGCGCTTATCCAGTACGAGCAGGAGGCGTTCATTTCGAGCGCCTCCTTCGCGTAGGAATACTCTGACGACAGCGTTCCCTTCTCAAAGTAGGAAAGGTACGACTTGGCCAAGGGGGTGGCACACCGGGCCGTAGGACCGTCCTTGTGCGGCAGCTTGAAGTAGACATGGTCTTTATCTTCTTTCAAGGCCTCGATAGTTTCCTCTGCGAAGTCGCAGGGCTCCATCAGTTTGTCCGTGTACTTCTTAGCGTCGCCTCGGGGTACCCTGAATGTCCAACCGTGCTTGTCGGACCAGAAGAGCGGATACCCATCCCACGCTAACCTGAGGAGCAGCGGCGTTATCCTGGTGCGGACAGTGAGGTTCATTGGGGCGGTACTTGTCGCAAACAACCCCTTGTACCACTTGGGCTTGCCCGGCAGCTTTTGTCTCGCGGCCGGCCGAGGCGGGTCGCCCTTCTTCTTTCCATTGACCATCTTGATCTCCTGCCCCGACCAGTCCAGCTGTTTCATCCAGGGATCGTTGCTCCACTTGTCGGGGTCGTCCTTGATTTCCAGAGCCTTCCCTGCTAGAAGTTCTAGGCGTTCTTGCACACCGTTAGAGAGGTTGTGATAGGTCGCCTCCGCATTTTTGATGTAGGCGTCCCATGACTTGTTGACGGGCAAGATCACGGACGAAAGGTGGCGGAGGGCGGCAAAGCTGACGGGATGCGGGCATACGCGGAGGAAATTGGGGAAGACGACTTGGTAGACACGATGTGTGATGGCGACATCTGCCGCGCAATAGGTCAGGAGCTCATCTAGTCTTTCCACCACTTCGTCCCGGTCGAGCCCGCCAAACGAATTCCGGAGCTCCTTGTCGATGGTCACATCGAGATGGAATTTAGCGACATCGCGTAGTGAGTTTATAGAGCTCCGCTCCACCCACAACTCCTCCTCCTCGGCTGAAAAAGCTTTGTTGTTCAGCAGATCGACCAGGTCGACGCTGTCGGTCTCCTTGACGATCTTGTCCCGTAACTCCCGGTTCTTCTTGTGTTTCATCCAGGTGGGCCGCTGTTGCGAGCACATGCCATTGACAGCGACGTGCAAGGACATGGTGTCGAGAAAAGAATTCCGCGTCTGCTGCAGGTCGTATTCCTCCAATATCCTAGCTCGATCGTATCCTACATTATGCCCCACGATTACCCTCTCTTTCGCCGGGTCCCCCAGCGGCACCAGTTGGTGTTGGTTCTCGGTCTCTCCCAACAACCACGGCGATAGCCATGCATACCACGCCTCGGGTGTGCCTGCGCAGGCCATGACTGCAAATTTGTTTACGTTCCACATGACCTCGGTGTCGAAGGCGAGCATGTTCCCCTCCGGCGCGTCGACCTGTTCGGTGCGGCCGTCTGGGTAGTACTTGGTCCATCCGCTCCGACGTACCCATGACCTCGGCTTTGGTGGCAGGACCGACTTGACGAACTGTTTTGCGAGCCCTAAGAAGGGCTCCGCCGCGTCGACGCCTAGCTTGTGGAAATGCTCATCGAGGGTCTGGCCGGCGAGGGGAGGTAGCTTGAAGGCGACCGGGGGGGTTTTGTCGGTGTTTTTGCCGAGAAGATTGTGGCGGGTGAGGTGGTCTTGCGCAAGCTTGATGAGCTCGGGGGTGGGCGGGGCGGTGTCTCCGTTGGGAAACAGCTGGTTGTAGAGGCTGGTGCTCAGTCCCTGGACCTTGATGTCGTTGAAACGAGGCTCACAGGGGATGGAGAGATTTTGTTTTTGGTCAGCTACTGGAGCATTGGCAGTCGAGTTCCACCGGACAAGACCCGAAGCCGATCCCGAACAACGCCATGATCGATGGTGGGTGGTAGCTCGATGTCGAACGAGACGGACAAAGTTCGCGGCGGGCGCATCTCCTCCTCGCAATCCGCGAATAGAAACGAGCATTTTGCGCTGCGAAAAAGAATGAACGGCGGAACCGCACTCAAGTCATCGTAACTTGGGGGCGGATTGTATGGACTTTTTAGAGTTGAAAAAGTCGTCCTATCAACTCGAGAGATAGATGACGGCGAAAAAAAGCCGTTTGTGAGACATGGAGGGGGGGCAGATTTAGAAAGATCAGGGGTTCCACATGGTAACTAGTTACTGCACATGTAAAATTGACCCACCAGATGACGTAAGGTTAGTGAAATATTACAGTAACTAACTATTACCACACTTGCCACACTCAGCCGCCGTAACTCGCGCGTTTTGCCAAGACGAATGACTCGCATGTATAGACGAAGTATAAAAATTCATTCGTCCGTCCATTTGTCCGTTAGTATTCGAGTAGCTGCATCCAACAGAGCAACACCTCTCTGTCCGACTCAATACCAATACCGACCGAGCTTGCCGGACGACTTGTATTTTTGCGCTTCTGAGCCGACCCTCTGATGCAAACCGCGCGCATTGTGTCGACCTCAGCTGTTTGTGCATCGTGAGGGCAAGGCTGCGATAGGCTTTGTACCGACAACAAATGTGTTGCCAATTTTGTGTCAAATAAAAGCTTGTTCGATACCCGTCTCTTCAAGACAGTCTTTCTCCCCCTGGTTAAAAAAGCCGAACTCGAAAGCAGAGCAAAAAGCCAAGAAATAGACAAAAGTAAAAGAAGTCAAGAAAAGAAAAAGAGGAAACCGGGCATAATAAATCGAAGAAATCCAGCAAAGTAAAAAGTAGACATTGGGCTTTCAAATGTCTTTTTCGTTCATCTAGTCAAAGGTTTCGTCGGCAGGAGCTCGGCTTTTTTTGCCCATAGAGTGACAAGTGAATTCCTCCTGCGCATAAGATCTCTATACGGAGCCTTAGGCCCTCCAACAGATGCTGGTGATGCGTCATCTCGTAACGTCAAATGGAGCGTTTTATTCCCCATTCTCAACGCTCAGCTGATGCTCCAATGGCCGAGAAACCGAGCCCTAGTATCTGTTCCTTCCGGTAGAAACAATACCGGACGTTGCTATCGAACCGCGAACCCTGTCTGCATGCACGTACTTGATCGTGTCCATACATGACACTGATAGCAGCGGAATTAAGCATCCACCCAGTGAGAATATACTTTTACGATGCCCGGCTTACCCGAACCATAGAGTTCGAATTCCTACGACGGATTGAAAGTAATGGGGTTGGTTGCCTGTGGGGATTCCCGGGCAACAATCCGGACCCGAAACGGAAGGAAGGCCAGCTTCGGGGTACTCCTGCCTTTTGCGGGCCTGATCTCATGCTTCCTCTGCAGAGTTTCTGTTCGTTTTTTTTTTTTTTTTTTTGGCAGGGATTTTACATTGTGTGTCCACGATCTGCGAGGTGCCTGGGAGCTCCCTCCTTTGGCAACCGACTCATATCGGTGTTCTACCAAGGAGCCAGCCTGGGGCAAGGTGGCGATGGTCAGCGAGGACGGGATTCCATCTCGGGTGGTTTACCCCATCGCACTTGCGATACCCCCCCGGGCACCTGTGGCATCCGGAAACCTGGAAGTACTTGCTTTGCTTCATTATCTATAAGATAACCTGGCCGCCCAACCGATAATTTGCACACGGTTTTCCCACCTCACATAACCATACCTGCCTTCTCAACACAAGCACTTCTGAAGCAGCGACAGGAGCTTGCAGCTTTGTACAACACGCCGCCTGCAGTTCAAGGTTCCCCAGTCACTCATGGCCGACAATTTCTTCGACGGAACTTGGAGTGATTTCTATGACGGTATGTACCTATATTTACAATTAATTGTCTCCCCTCCAAGTACCTGACCCCCTTTAGATCCTGCCTTGCTCAGCTTTGCGGCCCTCGGCCTGCCTCTCGAATCTCCGTCGCCTCCTCAACGCATACACATGCCACCAGCCGATTCCTCTTCTCGGCTCGAGCCGCAGGCAGCACATAATGCGAGATTTCGCCCTAGTCCCAGGGATCGATCTGCACCGTTTGGGAGTGGGGTGGTCCGGGAAGCATCAGCCTTGCCGTCCGAAGATCTCGGCAGCTGGTCTGTGCCTGGACCCACTCGGCCCGCCTCCAATAGGCGACCGACACCGGCAGCCTCTCGGCGTCCCGAGCTTTCTCGCAACAATGCATCACGGAGAAGAGTCGAGGACCAAACACCTTCGCCTCGCGCTCCCGCTTGCCCCACTTTCCCTCCACCTTCCAACTTGAATCCCATTGCACTCTCCTCTGCGGTTACCGCGCACGGCCACCCAAATTCCCAACGAAGCCTCGTCGACAACTTTCCCACCGCAAGACTCCCTCGCAACGTTCCACCCGTTTCATCCCGCCGCCGAAGCCCGCGCCAGGACTATATCGCGTCCTTCGCGACCGCCACCGCCGCCGATTTCCCACGGCAACCTGCCACACCACCATTGTTCAAAGACCCCGTGCTCCGACCGCCAATTATGTCTTCGAATACGCGGAGAAGGAGCGTGCGTCCTGGCGACTTGACAATGCCCACCCCGCCGAGCCTGGCCGCCCAGATGTCGATGCCCGCACCGAGGACCACCCGCCGGAGCACGTCACAATCCGTTCAGCCAGAGCAAGGCGCCTCCAGCAGCAAGCGCAAGCGAGAATCCGACCTTGTCAACGACCTCTTCGGAGATGGCCCTTTTGACGACCAGCAAGTGGTGGATTTAGTCGACAAAGACGAAGTCCCATCCGAAATCCTCAATAGCCAAGAGAAGAAGAATTACACTAGAATGAGCACTTTTGATTGTGTCATTTGCATGGACAGCGTCAAGGATTTGACTGTTACCCATTGTGGTAAGCTTTCTTCCCCATATATGGCTCAACTCCCTCTGATAATGATCTCCAGGCCACCTATTCTGTTCTGCGTGTCTTCATTCTGCCCTCAACATGGACCCAAACCGACGAATCTGCCCCATATGTCGCCAGAAAATCGATAAGATGCCCATCAACGGTAGCAAATTCGGACAAAAAGCAAAGGGCTATTATTCCTTGGAGCTCAAGCTGCTGACCAGGAAGAGCCTGGGAGCGAAAGCCGAATAGTTGTTTGAGGCCACGGCCTAAGTAGTGGGGAACGATGCCGTGTTAATCTTAACATGATGCGCCGAGACCGCTACTATTGAGGCTCGAGTTCCGGAACACATGGATTCTCAGATCCCAGAACATGGCTTTGGGTTCTACACTCCGTTGGACTTCTGGTAGACCGAGATATTCCAACCTTCTGGATCCTGAGCAACAATAGTCGGCATGCAACCATACATTTATATTTTCATTCGGATTCTTTGTTTCTTTCGGCGTGGACATGCCCGAGTCACGACCCCGGCTACACAGGACGCAAGTTTCATGGGGCCACGACTCCAGGCTCCATTCTACTGCATCGGCTTTCAGGGGGCTGTTTTCTCTTTCCGCTTTCCAGCATTCGACGCGGGAGTAGTCTGCTTTCAATTTTGCATGGCCGGTGGGATCAGCATGGAGGCGGACAAACGGACAGACAAACAATTGGCGTTATGGGTTGGTGTTGTATACCCTGGGCAAGAAGGTTTTGACACGCATAGCATCATGGGTAGGCAGGCTAGACAGGATGGTCTGTCTAGCATCAAGGTGGAATAGGGTTGGAACGGTTAACTGGGATTTTCATCTTCCTTCACGGACTGGTTGGTGCATAATAGTGGTTCGTTCCTTTTCGAGGTCTTTGTTGAGTTATGATTAGGAACGGGGAATCGCCAGGCAGGCGACCAGCCTAGTGCTCTGTAGATAGCTTGAAATGCACACATCCTGAGATCATATCCTCACAAGGAACGACATTGTGATCCCTTCTTTCTTGGCCAACACCACCGCTATTAGACGAAACAGAAATGTCTGGGTCGTTTTATTCCCAACAGTGGGCGAGGCAAAATCCATCTCTACTCGTAACAACCAAAAAGGATTCCCTCCCCTTTCATCCCAACACTTGTCGATACCCTCTCCTTTCATGATGTAAATACCCTGCCTGCCCTGTCCTCCAAAGAAAGAAAGATTAACCCCTCCTTCTCAATGGAAAAGCGTGGCACCCACCCGCGGCTTCTCGGCCGGGGTCTGGCCCGTCTCGAACTGCAAAAGTAACATCGTCAGCCAACCTATCATGCTTCAAGAACCATAGCCATAGCGGGCGACGCGTCGCAGAACCTCAACGCGAGGACCGCGCGTGCCCGACGCGTTAGAGAGGGAGAAAAAAGAAAAAAAGAAAAGAACGTACCTCCAAGAACCCCGTCGCCATAATCAGCAGCATGAACGCCTCCGCCAGCTCCTCGATCCGCTCTTCCAGCGCCCCCTGCGCTTCCACGTCCCCCTCCCTCGTCCCCGCCCCCACCGAACCCAACAGGCTATCCCCATAAGCCTGCCCAACCCCGTTCCCGTTCCCGTTCCCAACCCCATTCCCCTGCGCACCCCTCCCCCCCACCACCCCAATCCCCGCGCTCCGCTTTAGGGTATGCACCACTAGCATGCGATGCTGGGTGAGGAAGCGGCGGCCCTGGACAACATTGCTCGCGCCGCGGGCGAGCACGGCGGCGGCAACGATGCGGGCGAGCGCGACGAGCAGGGCGTAGTGCTTCTCGAGGGCGCGCGTGTTGCGCGCGTCGACTTGCAGCTCCGGGTCGGCGCCGAAGACGCCCGCGAGTTCGAGCGCGCGGAACAGGCCCGCTTGGAGGACGTATTTGGCGCCGTGGCGGGTCTGGGCGAGCTGGAGGAGGAGGGCGAGCTTGGCGGTGAGGTATTGCTCCGTTTGTTTGTTGTTGTGGTGGGATTCGGAAGCGGTTGTTGTTGTTGCGGTTGTTCCCCCGGCTGGGGAGGAGATGACGGCGAGCCAGTCGGCGAGGATGGTCTTGAGGGAGTCGACGAGCACGCCGAGGAAGTTGAGTCGGTTGAGGGCGTCGATGATGGCTGTGTCGTCGTCGGCCGAGGAGCGGCGTGAGGTGTGCACAAGCGCCGAGAGGAGGACCGTTGCGGCCGTTTGGCAGGACGTGTCGCTGCCGTAGGCGTCGTCGCAGATGACGTTGAGCAGCCGGTCGCCGTGGAGTTGGATCGCTTTGAGTGTCTTCGTCCGGGCTGTTGCGACGCTGCGGTTGCGCCCTCCGGTGGCGGCTGCGGTGTCCTTGTCGACGATAGCGGTCAGGTAGCGGTAGCAAATCCCGTAGTAGAGCGCACGGAGCTCCGCACCGCCGGCCCATTTGCTAATAGAGCTGAGGCAGACCTGGAAGAGCTGGAAGAGCTTATCGCTGATGAGGTTGCCGACGGTGAACTTTTCTCTTTGCACAAAGGACGCAGAGTTGTCGTCGTCGTCGTTGAAGTCGAGTTTGAATAGGAGTACCTTGGCGACTCTTGCGAGTTCTAATGCTTCGGCTGGGCTGAGCGTGCTGTAGGCTTCAAGCGTTGGGAGAATGGCTTGGAGTGCCTGCAGTAGAAAAGCCATCTTGGGTGTGCCCTTGAAGTCGTTGGCCTCAAACATGATCAGAAGCAGGTTTGCCCATGCTTTGAGCAAGCCGAGCCTCGACGCGGCGAATAGCTTCTGGCGGTTCGTGAAGGTCAAGTACTCCACCAAAATCCGCTCTTCTGTCTCGATAGCGTCAAGGTGCTGCTGGGATGCTACTTGGAACGTATCCCTAAATTCATTACGCTTCAGCGCGATGGTTTCCCGCACTTTGTGGATGTTGTACTGCAGACCGGCATCGGGGTGCTCGACAGCAGACGGCCTCAGGTCGAGATCTTTATAGAAGACGAATTGCGGCGGGGGCACGTCCCAGGCGGCATCGGGATTAAGGAAGTCGAAGAAATCGAAGATGTTTGCAAGGCTTAAGGGCTCCTCGCTGTCCATCTTGATCTGCCCGTTCAGGGCGTCGAAAATCTGGCGCTTGATAGAAGGTATCCTGTTTTGCGAAACGCTGCACAACTCCTTGCCGATGTACTCAAACACCATGGCTCGAGCACCAAGGTAGTCGATGTATGCCACCGAGGCGTTGGAGAGAAGGAACTCGGGGTTGTTCGCTTGCAACTCGTCCCATGTCAGGTCCGGCTGAATCTGGATCTCCCTCAGCAGCATATGGAAGAGGAAGTTGGTGGCTCTCAACTCGTCCATGACCAGGGTGCTGGAAAGCGGGGATTTCCAGAGAATCTGCAAGATGCGTAGAATTCGATACTTTAAGGTGATAAGATATCCGCGCATCCCACGCTCCTCCTCGTATACCGAAATCCCGATGACAATGTTGAGCAGATTGTGAAAAAGAGACTTCTGGGAATCGAAAGCCCCCCGTGGCTCGATGCCCAACTTGTTCAGTTCGCAGTGGAAACCGAGGAGAAGATGGGCGATGGTTGGCTGATCGGGCGTCGCATTGAGACATTCGTAGATGAAGTCGAGGATAAACAGCTTGATCACATAGCTCTCTGACTCGGCCTCCAGTGCTGGATCCAGGGGCGCAGATATGGTAGCAGCAAGTGAAGCGGCAATGGTATGGCCCTCGCCGCTCCTTTCGAGCTGAACAATCGCCTTGTTTCGGTGGCCCAGGCGGCCAGTATCTGGGTTCCAGGCCGAGATGATTTTGGGGGACGTAGATATCTTTTCGAGCAGTTTCAGGCAAGCTAGTGTCAACTCGCCGTGCCCGAGATTGCAGTACTTGCCGAGGTCGACCACCAAGTTCAGATGGCTCAGGATACCGTCCTCAAAGGCGGCGTACGCGGCGTTCGCCACGGAAGGCCGTCGCTGTTTCTCCGACTGGATGACAGGACGCACCAGGAGTAAATAAGTTTCTTGCAGGTCGAGAGCTTTGATCATGACCTGGATGCCCCGCAGAATACTGAGCACCAAAGGCGAGTCTGGGGATGCAGCGCCCAAAATAACGGCATCTTGGTGGATGGTGCGAATCAAGGCGGTGATGACCTTTTCGTTAAAGAGCCACTCCATGACGCGGGCGAAGGGATGGAGGCGGACGTATGTAGCTAAATCAGTTGTTGGCATGGCCACATCGATGGCAATATTGCTTTCGTTGCCCAGGATTATGAGGTCTTCGTTGAACGTTGATAGGCAAGTCAAGGCGAAATCAAGGCAGCTAAGCCGCACCGCCCTGAGTTGGGCAGGGTCTGCCAGTTCTTGAGCCTTTTGAGAGAAGACCCGAAAGACGAAGTCGACGTAAGGTTCCATCCCTGGCGTTCGGACGCTGCTGCCCAAGTCTTCGGGGAATGTCAGGCTGTCGTTCAGCCCTTCCGGGCCCTCAAGCGGGGCGAAGAGGGAGGCAAGAAGCTGAATGAACGCGTTCGATTCCTCGAAACCATCGCTGAGGTCATTCAAGAGGGCTTCCATGTGCCCCTCTGGGCTCAGTGGTTGACCGAGGTAAGTCATCGGTTGCTGGCTTCCCGGGTTGGTGAGAGTGTGCGTTGCCCAAGCATCGACATACCTCCACAGAATCTCGTTCTCAGGAGGCTGTCTTTGAGTCATCAAAGCCTTAAGGACATAGAAAATACAAGCGCGGAGTCGAGCCGGCAGTGGGCCATCTCCGAGCCTAAACAGGGTGTCAACCAGCCGCATCTCCTCGTCCATCATCATCCTCTGCCGAGCAACTTCGCTTTCCGTTGCCAGCTTAGCGATAAGCCGCAAATAGCATTCCAACATCAAGGCGGACTCGGGCTCTGTTTCAGCCAGGTCAGCCACGGGTTTGGTGGGGCGTTGTATGGTGTGCGCCTGTGTTGGGGGTGGCTTGTCCCGAAGCTGTTTTGTGAAGTAATCCAACTCCTTGAAAATCTGGGACCACGTCAAAGACTGAGAGCGCTTCATCTTGCCAGAAGATTGGTGGCCCTCGTCGAGCAAAAAGGTGTGAGCAGCGGTCGCACATTCCTCGTTGTCAGAGAGACACTGGAGCATTTCACAGAATGCGCTGACAAGCGGCGTGGAAGCTCGTCTAGACGCCCACTGCAAAAATCCGGCCAAATTGCTATCCGGATCTTCCCAGAAAGACATGGCCGCGTCCGGCCTGCCCTCGTAGGCATATGATATGATGATCAGGAAGCGCTCAAGGTCGAGGTCTTGTTCGTGGCTTTGACTGAGCTGCCTTTGCTCATCTTCTTCCGTCCTCAGCTTGCGAAGCATATCTGGAAGGTTCGAGATAGAGGCATCCACAAACCCCTCCAAGCGCACCATGAGAATTTGCTGGAGGAAATGACTGAAAGGGAACGGGTCCGTTGCTAACGAAGGGGACTTTCGTTGCAGCCATTGACGCATACCCAATCGCGATGGGTCCTGCCATTCTTGGGCTTTACAGTCCGCGGCAACTGACAATATAAAGTCGAATGCGCCCTCTTTGAGTGCCTCAATAAACTGTTTGTTCCTCTCGTCATCTTCCTCGTCCAGGTTAATCCCTTGAAAGTCGTAGCTCGTGTCGTCGAGGTACCATCCGCTATACTCGGCAATCCACCAAGCCCGGACGGCGGCACCGAGGTACGGGAGAGCCCACGAATCATCGGTTTGTTTGCAGACAACACGGTTGAGCTGGCGCGCTTGTTGGAGATCGCCCACCCCCTCCGTGGAACCGAAGGCCGAGATGTAAGCAGCGAGAACCGGGAACAAATGAACTAAAATGTATGAGTAACGTTTCGCGGCAGTAAAAGCCTAGGGCGTGTCTCATCATACCAAGGAAGTGATCATATTTGTCGACTTTTCTGAGGGCCTGGAGGAAGTCCTGGAAGTCGTTGACCGTCGCATGACGTTTCTCGACCGCGGCGTGGAGAATTGCCGCCAAACACTCATGCTGCTCAACGAGGCTGGTCCGTGAGAAGTCGAATGTCTCTTGATTTTCTGAGCCCCTCACGAGAGCAGCTTGCTGCAGTAGGTTCCGGGCCGCGGCCTTTTCCGTCATGTTCTGTAGCATGACCCTCACACTCTGCATAGCCTCCATGCATCTTGAGACAGCCTTCGGGCCGGCAGCCCCTGTGCGTAACTCGGGCGGAGGGATGCCGAATACCTTGTCCTCGGCGACGATGCCGAACGAGTCTTGCAGGCCCGGTTCAAGGTCTTCATCGGCCGCTATCTCGACGATCAGGCGCATGCAGTCAAGTAGATACCTGCGTTCTTGGTGGAAACGGATGACGGCGCATTCCCATAAAGGTCGGCTCTGCGTTTCGGTATCGCCTTCTGCATCGCAATCCAACAAAATTCTTGCCGATTCGAGCTCGTCCAGATCCAAGTCGTCGGCAACTCGGAGGCAGTCGTTGACAAAATCGTCATTGATCGCGTACTCGTCTTCGCCAACCTTGACCTTTCCTAGTTCAAATCGTCAGCAACCCCCTCTCCCTTCCCCGGCACTCCGTCTGAGTAGCATCACATACCTGTCCCTAGGGTTGCTCTGTGGGTCGAGTTTCGCGGGGGTTTGTCGATCAGCTTCTTGAATGCATCGGTTTGCGCGTCCAAAAGCTGCTCCAAAGTCTGCAGTCCTTCATATCGATGCTGGCGGACAGCGACCAGTTCCCCGTGCAGAGCCTGGAGGGCTTCGAGCGCGCGCAGTTCAGACATGGTCGACGGGGTGAGATGCGCCTCTGCGCATTCTTTTGATGTCGCAGCCGCGTTGTTCGGAATCTCGGTGCCGTCGAACGATACCTATAGTTAGTGTGTCAATGGATGCGGGTATCGAGAAGCGTCCCAGCACGCGAGTCCCTAGACTACCGGGTTGGTAAGGCGTTTGTACCGTGTAAGTGTCGAGATTTGAAGGTTTGACGATTTAGGCCGTCCCGCGCCAAATCGCCTGCCGATTGGCGCCAAACAGCTGCACAGTCAACAAAAGAATTAGGCGGTGAAGTGTTCTGCCGTGACCCTGGAAGCATGGGCTGTGTTCTTGCTGGGGACGCAAACAGAGTGGGGCTTCAGGCTGGGCCATGGATGCATTTCTTGGTCGCGCACCTGGACCGGACAGCGGATGGTCATAGCTCCTTCCAAGTTCCGCCTTCCCAAACTCGAGCCTGCCCGTTTATCGGGATGGATGGAAGCCTACCTAGAAGATCCAATGCTGAAAGCGCGGTTCTGCTCTCAAATAAAATTCGAAATCCCAAACTTTCTGAACCAACCTAACTCTACATATCACCAAAGTGGTTAATGTTGATATTGTTGTTGTTGTTGTTGTTGTTTTCTCCAACTCCTCGCGGCTTCTTATTATTATTCTACAACCAATCTGGATAGGCCTGGCGGAACATCCATGTGCACTGCGCGTAGCTGCTTTTTCCGCTCCAATACCGCACGCGCCTTGTACCTTCTTGGGTTTCTCTCAACATACCGCCTTACCTAGGTATTCTTTTCCGCCTTTAATGCTAAAGGTGAGCCATGCCTTTGCTGCTACTTAGGGAATCTGATGGACCGTTGCCGTCATTTCGTTTTGAGCACAAATATTTGGTCTTTGGTCTTGGTCTTTGATTCGAGCCAACCACGGCCGTCTTGGTCAAACTCCACGGCCTGGCTCCAAGCCAAGTGAAGACCTGAAGATCGCTGGCCTCTCCGGTTGGCGTTCGGGCAGAGAAAGCAAAAATGCCACGGCAACCGAAGACGTACAATGGTGACACGATCAATTTCAAACAACTCGCTGGTAAGTGATATGTTTGGTCGAAGATCGACTCAAGTAACATGCATCGTCTGACACGAGACAACCTTCGTAGGGCTCCTCAAAAGCGGGACAATCACAATACGTACCGATGCCATTGGAAGTAAGCCGCAACTCCCTACTTGCTAGGCCCTCGCATTCTCTAAAATATGAACTAACCTTGCTGTACAATTACAGCATTATTGGCATTTTTTGATGCCGTCGAGCGCGGCTCTCAAAGGTAGATACTGCAGTGCCCACTAATGACCCTGTTTGAGGGTGTTGTTGTTGTTGTTCTTGTTAACTCGACTAGGAACCCCTTTGATGACAAGTCTTACCACTCACTCTACGAGGCCTTATTTAGCTGCGCTCTCATAGAGAAAGAGAGCTACTTTAGCTCTAAAAAGTCGGCCAAATCGATTGCAAGACTCGAAAAATGTGCACGGGCTCTACGAACAGCTGTTCGCCATGGAGCCACCAAGATCAGGCGCAAAACGGGCAAGGCCATCATCGACCACATCGCCCAGGTCCTTCCCGGGCCAGATGGAAGCTATATTGGCCCTCTTTTAGAAGACTACGTGAAAACGCTCAGCACCTTCCTCGAGTCCTCGGCCAACGTCGAGAATCTCGCTATTAGCGAGTCCTGGGACACGTGTGTCCTTTTCTGTGTTGAGGCTCTTTACCGCTACCTTGAGACGGGCGACCGAGAGAGCGGTTCCTTGTCTCGCGCCTCTCCGGCTCCAGGACCAAGTCTTAGGTCTGGTTCCATCGCTTTACCCCAGGGTTCAGGTCAAATCGGTGGTATGATGGCCCTCGAGTTCTTGACGTGCCTCAACCTTCTTGTGGCCGCTCCAAACGCGCCGGTGGCGAGGAAAGCGGACAAGATCTCAACCGTGGTGTTGCAAATCCTTCAGCTCCGGCAAATGAAGATCGGAGAGCTGCAGAAAGTGGCCTTCTCGACCTTCAACCTAGTTTTCCAACGCACCCAAGCCGACGACGTTGCCTTATCCAAGACGCTGGCCAGGAGTATGACCCCCCTGGTTTCGTATTGGTGGCAGCCTCGTGCTCTCTCACGAGACGCAATGTTGAATTCTGTCCGCGACGAAATGCTCAAGACGATTTACGGGACACATCTTTACGTCGAGAGCCTGCTTCGGGACGCCACTGATGAATCTTTCTTTCAAGACGTCGAGGATTTGCTGGATTCGTTGTGGTCCGACTATTCGAAGCGCGAGGATCGCGCCCGGCTTCAACTCGATGATGTGACGTTCACTGGGTTGCGTCTACCCGAGGACCACCCTTCCACTACCGTCTTCAGTCTCCGTCCGTACAATCAGGCAGGCGAGCAGAACTGGGCTCTTCTAGAGAATCTCGCAATTCTGGAAGCCGCTTACTCGCGGTACGCCCAGCGGGAGCACAGCCAACAGCATCCCGACCATGGCCAGCCTCGAAAGAGGCGGCGGGTGGCTGGCAGCGCCAACAGGATCCTCCAGAAGATCAAGTCATTGGATGCTGCGGTTCGCCTATCTGCTTTGCAACTCATACCCTTTCTAGCCAAACGGAAGCCGTTTTCACTAGAAGACATCTCCGAGGTGATGGCAGACTTGTCCAAGTCTGTCACTGATAAACAGGGCGCGGTCGCATCTTGGGCGATGATTGCTTGTTCTGGGTAAGTACCAGGACGTTTTACCGCGCAATTCTTTTGGGGGGGGCTAACCAAACAAAAGCTTTGCGGCCTATGAGGTCTCCCGACATGCATCTCTCAGCTCATCCTGGAAGCATCTCTGGCACCTAGGCGTACGAGCCCTGTCTCTGCCGCCTACCAGCCGCGCTGCTTGTGTCCTCCTCCATTCAGTGTTGGAAGCGAACCTTGTACCCAGACACGAGCTCGCGGATGATGTCAATCAAATCGTCACAACCGCCGATATCAGCGGCCCGTCAGTCCTGGTCGACTCGTCTCTCACTCTTATGCTGAGCCTGCTGCGCCTCCGCAACAACATGTTCCCTAATGCCAGTCAAGCCACTTCGAGTCACATCATCCGATGGGTCTTTGTCCGATGGAGTCCTGGTAAGTTGGTATCAACGTCATAACCTCGGGACAGTCCTGACTTGTGCGGCAGCTGAGTTGATATACGCCTCCTTTCATGCCACCCACGCAACACCGTTCGATATCGTCAACCTTCTGAAGGCTTGTTATGGTGCCCCACCACTCACCATGCCAGCGCCACTTCGCTTGTTTGGCGGTTCCATTTCTCAATTCTGGAAAAGCCAGGCGGAAACTCATTCTTTCATACGGTACCTGCTTCTATCAGACCAGAATGACACTGTGGCGCCAGCCAAGGCATCCGCCACAAGCACATCCTTGGCCCATGAGCAACAAGCTGATCATCAGCCAGTGGCCGATCCATCGGGATCCCATGCGGCAAGACGGCTTGCGCTTGAGTTGCTCTATCCGAAGATTGAAGAACTGCATCAGTTGACAGAGTCATGGCAAAAGCGCGGGGCAGAAGGTGCAACCCCAGTTTCTACTGAGCGGCTTCAGAGCATCGTCCTCGCATGCCTCACCGGAGCTCTACTACTACCAGAACTTGTCAACCTGAATTCATCCGCCTCCAGAGATCTTGAAACCACCCTTTTTGGCATCGTTGATGCCACGCTCCGAGTAATATCGGCCGCTCCCTCGAGCGAAAACTATTTTGATCTGGTTTTGACATCTTCGTCCGCGTACGTCCCCCCGGCCATGGAAGCCGAGCTCGTGTCTTTGAAGAGAGATAGGCCACATCTGCTGAAATTCTTCGGAAAGCTTTCCGATGCATTACACGAGAGGTCTCGCCGAGAATCCTCTCTCCGAGATCCCGATGTTGTTGACATTGACGACGAGTTCGAGTCGCAGACAAGCCAACATAGCACGACATCCAAAAACAAGATTCTCCCGAGGCGGGATGTCCTGTTGTCTCATGCATCTGAGGCTTTTTACCTCGAGACCAGTCTGCGAATACATTTCCTCGAGGTCATACGTTCAGATGACGGCGAGATTGGGCGGGTTCCGGAGACAATCGTGGACCAACTCGTCGAACTCCCGAACGAGCAGTTTCTATTTTGCCGTTCCTTCATGCAGGAGCTCTTCATGTCGGACGCCATGGTTCCCCTTGAGTCCGCCATGAAGATTCTGGAGACTGCTGGCCGCATAGTCAGCCGAGACGAGTTTTCGTGCTGCGAAGTAGCACTATGCACTTGTCTCGGCATCATGGAGAGCTTCATCAGCATGTGGACCGATGATAGCTTGGAGATTTCAGCCATGGCAGGGGACCTCTACCATTACCTGGTGAAGCATTCTCTGCCGAGCAACTCGTTATCTGCCGCCGCGCAAGTTCAGCTCTCCTGCCTGCTCCTGCATCTGTTGGAAGTCAAGTCCACTTATGCTTCCACCCTCGAGCTGCCATCCTCTCGGTCAACGCTCATGAACATTCTACAAGACGGAGCCATGGACGTCAAGTACTTCATTGGATGCAACCTCCCAAAAATCTTTGGATTATATGTTCTGAAGACACACGACACCATTTTCGTTGACGTTCTGGAGAGCCTTCCTTCAGACCCGCATGTCACCGAAGGGATCGCATTTCGGTTGTTTGCTCGCTCGCACGATACTTGCGCTGTCAATGGCCGACACTCCTTCGCCGATGCATTTACCACATCTTTGAGACACCAGGGAAGATAGCCCAGTCGGGAAAGTATGCGGCAAGCTGCCTCAAGAGAATATCGCGAACTTTGCAACTGAATGGGCCCCAAGAGTTATTCAGGCTCTTCGCCCCCCAACTATTGTATACATGGCTGGAGGGCGGCTCAATCCAAGAGATCCCGTTCGAGATATTTGGATTTTCGAGCCTCCATGATCTACTCCAAGAGGCCCAGACTGAAGCTGCCGCCATCATGATAATGCGTGGGCAAGATAAAGAGGCGCTTGATTTAGCGCAGGCCTTGGGCCTGACGCCCGAGCAATTGGTCCAGCAGAGCTTCACCAAGATCATTACTTACAGCATCGCGCACGATATCAGCATTCCGGGCGGCGCCGACTATGTAACCGGAGAAAGTCGGCTCAGGAAGATCCTAGGGAAGGAAGGGTTCCTCGCAAACATCCACCTCAACTTCGCCGACATCATCGCTACATTCTTTGACATTTTTGATCAAGAAGACCCCATCGAGAAGGCTTTCCGGAGAGATGAACGATTTGCCTACGCGGCCGACGCCATGGAGGAGATCAAGAAGCTCGGCCACCTACCCGCTGCCCTTCCTTCAAATCAGCAGCCGATGTTCAAAGCAAAGTATTTGCCGAGGGAGATTGTCCACCTATGCAGCCGGACACCATACGAGCCGGAAACGCTGTGGACGCCCGCCCTTGTCGTTTTCGTAGCCCGCAGGCTATTAAACACGATACACCCGGCGCTCGGCCCACTCCACGCTTGCTCCGTACTGCGCAAAATTCGCGTTCTGATATGCATGGCTGGCGAGCACGCAACATCGACATATCCTCTAGAAATGCTTCTGCATTCCCTACGAATATTTGTGGTTGACCCGGAGTGCGCCGACGATGCCCTGGGCATCACGCAGTACCTCATCCTCAAAGGAGACAGCCATCTTAGACAGACGCCCTCTTTCCTCGCTGGTTATGCCCTCTCTAGTCTCGCCGACCTCCGCGTCTTTCTTGAGTCAAGCCAGTCCAGCACGACACAAGAGAGTCAGTTCAAGGCCACCATGACCAAGGCACAGCTCTTCCACTCCTGGTTCTCCAAATATCTAACCAACTACGACTCTCCTGCGTTCCAGGATGAGGCACAGAAACGTGCTTTCAGGTCCATCACACAGTCGGCTGCTCATATTCGAGCCTCTGGCAATGCAGAAAAGGGCACACATGAAAGTAATCTGCTCTTGGAAATCCTCGAAGATTGGGACCGCAAGAACCAACTTCTGAACGAGCCCGCGCGAGACGTCGCTCTCTCTATGCTCTGCGGGGTGTTCAAGGTCCCTCCATCGAGCCGGCTAGATGTCATTGAGAGCGATGACGACGCGTTGAGCCCCAGTGGCTGTTGTGTGGAGGAGCTGCGCCTCGCAACGTTTGGGGTGGAGAGTACCTAGCCTGGGCTGGCAGGGTTCTAGGTCGTTCATTCTCAGCATCTGGCGAGGTTCCGGATGAGCTGCTGCGCGAGTCTCATCTTAAGGAGTACCGCCGACTATCGTTAGAGATCGGCGGCTCGGAGGAGGGGTTGCTGAATCTCATCGAAGCGCTCACTGTCAGTGGCGATTGCTTCACGGCTGGCCTGGCAGAGGCCGCGTTGCGGACCGTCGTCTCAGATGCCGTGAGCGACGATGACCATGACCTTCTCGGCGCCTGCCAGCAGAGCCTTGCCGAGCCGCTGCTGATTTCGTCAAACTGGGATCCTTACCGCACACCGCGGTCTGATGGATACAAGGTAGATGTTCCCTCGGAAGCGGGATGTGTTCTCAGCGGAGCACTTTGAGAGTCCAGACTGGTCGCAGCAACTTGCTACACTTTTGGCCCAGTCAGTGCCTGAGATTGTAACGTTGAGGGTCTTGCCCCCAATTCTTAGCAAGGTCAAAGGATTCGCGGAGCGGGCATTCCCCTTCGTTGTTCATCTGGTCTTAACCTACCAGTTGGACAAGCAGCAGGGCATCAAACGGCAACTGTCAGAGGCTCTCAAGGGGTGGCTCAACTCCACCTCAGATTTGGCTAAGGAGAACTTGAAACTTCTAATCAACACGATTCTCTACTTGAGAACTCAACCGCTGCCGGGCGAGGCCTCGATCGCAGACCGGGGACACTGGCTTGACATCAATCTTTCAAGCGCAGCGGCAGCTGCCACACGATGCGGCCTGTTCAAAGTTGCCGTCTTGTTCGTTGAGTTGGCTAACTCGGAATCGTCTAGGGGCTCACGGCGCTCTTCTACAGTCAGGGAAATTGAAGATTCGAGCGAGATCTTGCTGGAAATATTTGAGAATATTGACGACCCGGATGCGTACTACGGTCTGAACCAAGACGCCTCGCTTTCTACCGTCGTGTCTCGCCTGGAGTATGAAAATGATGGAGTGAAGAGCCTTGCCTTCCGCGGCGCTCAGTACGACAGCCATCTGCGGAGTAGGGATTCCGCATCGCGACAGGATGGTCAAGCGCTCATTAAGGCTCTGAGCAGTCTTGGTCTTGCTGGGCTATCCAACTCTCTTCTTCAAACACAGCAAAGCCTGGACGGTTCCTCCGACTCGCTTGATGGAACGTTCACTACGGCGAGGAAACTGGAGGTATGGAATCTTCCAGCGCCGTCAACCAACGACAACTGGGCCGTCACAGTGTACAAAGCATACCAGAGCATGCATCAGGCTCCCGATGTTGACTCAGTGAGGAGGGTAATCCATGATGGTCTGAAGAGCACCGTCAAGCACCTGACCAGTCGCAACCTCAATACTACAACACTGCGGCATCAACTCGGTGCACTTGCGGTGTTGGCGGAGCTAGACGATGTACTAAACGTTACCGATCAGTCCGAGCTGCAGAATTCGCTAGAAAACTTCGAGAAACGGTCCAAGTGGATGATGAGCGGACGGTAAGATCCCCCATTCGGTGATAAAAAGCGCGAAACCTAACAGCCTCAGATACTCCGATGTGGGCCAGATTTTGTCCTGCAGGGAGACCACGCTGAGCATGTGGAGTCAACAACACAAGTTGAGAGCTACGGGGTTGACTCCGGCTGATGCTCGTCTTGTCCAAATCCGTGGCATGCTACTCTCATCCGACATCTTCCGCTTCCATCGTGCGAACCAGGAAACCTTAAACATTTCGACGGGGCTCACAGGTCTCATCCGAACGAGCGAGATCCTGGGTCTCAACGTCGATGCTGCGATCAAAATGGAGGCGGCTAACTCATTATGGGATCAAGGAGAGATGATCACCTCCATCCGGATGCTGCAGAACGTTGACAAGGACTCGTCACTCAAGAAACAGACTGTGCCGGTTAGCCGTTCAGATCTTCTGTCGAAGATCGGCTATCAAGTTTCTGTTGCGAGACTCGAGAGCCCGGACAGTATTCAGAAGAAGTATCTCGAACCAGCGCTCAAGGAACTTCGAGGCAAGATTGAAGGAAAGGAAGCCGGTCAGGTGTTTCACCAGTTCGCCATGTTCTGTGACGAACAACTCCAAAATCCCGACAGTTTGGAGGATTTGGCACGTCTGCAGAATCTCAAGAAGGGCAAAGACGAAGAGGTTGCGCAGCTGAAAGCCCTGATCGCCAGCTCCAAGGACTCCCAGCACAAGAATCGGTACTCAAGCCACCTAGCGAAAGCGAGGCAATGGCAAGACCTTGACCAACAGGAGCTCCGCCGGGTTGAGCAGAGTCGATCCGAGTTCCTCAGGCTGAGTCTGGAGAATTACCTGCTCTCGCTGGCGGCATCCGACGAACACAACAACGATGCCCTGCGGTTTATGGCTCTTTGGCTGGAGCAGTCAGAGGAGGAGGTTTCAAACGAGGCCGTTAAGAAGTACATCGGCAAGGTCCCCACCCGCAAGTTTGCGCCTCTGATGAACCAGCTTTCCTCGCGTTTGCAGGACCAGCAGGCGCTATTCCAGAAGCTCTTGATCGACCTGGTCTACCGCATCTCTGTTGACCACCCCTACCATGGCATGTACCACATTTGGTCTGGGGCCAGGACCCGCGTCAACAAGGACGACGAGATGGCTGTCTCTCGGCAAAGGGCGACCGACCGAGTGGCGAAGGCACTCACCAAGTCGGAGGCGGTCGCCAAGATCTGGCCGGCCATCGATCAGACAAGCAGAGCCTACCATGCGCTTGCCATGGACCGTGATCCTAATAGGTACAAGGCCGGGCAAAAGATCGCGATCAAGAACTCGTCTGTGGGCCAGAACTTCTTGAGTATACTGGCGAGGTACCCTATCCCGCCCCCGACGATGCAGATGGCATTGTCGGCCAGCCAAGACTACTCGGACGTGCCAATGATCCACAAGTTTGAACCCGACATGTCCATCGCCTCGGGTGTGAGTGCCCCCAAGATCATCACGGCCGTGGGCACAAACGGCCAGCGGTTCAAGCAGCTCGTCAAGGGAGGAAATGATGACCTGCGCCAGGACGCTATCATGGAACAGGTATCAGTCGCCGCCGGACACTCTCAGAGCTCCTCAAGCTCCACCGGACAACGAGACTTTAGCGAGAGGGGAACCTCGGCGTCAGGACTTACAAAGTGCTCCCACTGACTTCCTCCTCCGGCCTCATCGAATTCGTCTCCAACACGATTCCCCTCCATGAATACCTAATGCCCGCTCACGAGAAGTACTACCCGAAAGACCTCAAAGGCTCCCAATGCCGCAAAGAGATCTCCAACGCCCAAACCAAGGCCACCGAGACCCGCACCTCGGTCTACCGCAAAGTCACCGAGCGCTTCCACCCAGTCATGCGCTACTTCTTCATGGAATACTTCCCCGACCCGGACGAGTGGTTCCACAAGCGCACCGCCTACACCCGCACAACAGCCGCCATCTCCATGCTGGGCCACGTGCTCGGCCTGGGCGACCGGCACGGGCACAACATCCTGCTCGACACGGAAACCGGCGAGGTCGTGCACATCGACCTGGGCGTCGCCTTCGAGATGGGCCGCGTGCTGCCCGTGCCGGAGCTGGTCCCCTTCCGCCTGACACGCGACATCGTCGACGGCATGGGCATCACCAAGACCGAGGGCGTCTTCCGCCGCTGCTGCGAGTTCACCCTCGACGCCCTGCGCGAGGAGGCCGCCTCCATCCAGACCATCCTCGACAGCCTGCGCCACGACACTCTGTACCAGTGGTCCATCTCGCCCGTGCGCATGGCCAAGCTGCAGAACGCGCGCGGCTCGGCGGCGGAAGGGGAGGAGGGTGAGGGTGGCGGTGAGGACGTCGGCGGGGCTGGGGGCCGCGAGAAGAAGGCGCGCTCCTCCGTCAATGAGCCGAGTGAGGCGGACCGCGCTATTGAGGTGGTGAAGAAGAAGCTGAGCAAGACGCTGAGTGTCATGGCTACGGTGAATGATCTGATCAACCAGGCGACGAGCGTGTCGAACTTGGCGGTTTTGTATTCTGGTAAGCCGTCTTTTTCCTGCCCGGGGGTTGCTGTTCTCTTTAGGAGATGGGTTGTGCTAACATTTCACAGGTTGGGCGGCATATGCTTGATTGAGTAGGAAAGGAAGTTGTGGGATGGGCCGGCAATCTTGTGTCTTATATATGTTGCCATACCAAATAAATCAGTTCACCTATTGTCATCGATCATTAGATTGCGCCCAAGTGACTACTGTGTGTGTGTGTGTGTGTGTCAACATACATTTCAAGCTATAATACTGCTCCCAGGACGTCAAGTATACAGCCTAATTTTTCCAATTCTCTACAGGCGAGACAACTGTATTCCCAGGTACGCCCCTTCTTGTAGACGCCATAATACGGAAAACCAAAGCGAAACCGGCATCTTGTGTGTCTTGACAAGTCCCACGCCAAATTCGGGGTCCTGCACAGACGAAGAAGAAAATGATAAACGCCCCTTTCTCCAACCCATCCACCCATCCACTTTGTACATCCAACGGTATCCCCGAAACTAACCAAGCCCCTAGACCGGCCGGACGAGGGTGTTGCAAATGCGCGAGCCACCCCAATGGTTCCTGGCACGCCCAATACAGCGGGTTTTCGAATAACATTAAAACAACCACCTCCTCCCCTACCAACCAGCAAAGCCCAACTTGACGACACAACGACCATACCACCCATCGGAGCCCCACTCACAATCAAACCCCCAACATCACTCCTCGGACCAAAACCGGAAGAAGAAAAAAAAGAAAGACTACCATTCCCTTTCTTCACGCCCCCGACTCCTGATGAGGAACAGCCGCCTTCCCAAGCCTGGCGAGCACGCGCTCGCGGTGGGCGCGGTTCTTGAGGTGGACTTCAAAGTTCTGGACGGTGGTGTCGGGGCCGGCGGTGTAAGATTTGCCGGGGCAGTCGCGGCACCTGATGCGCGGCAGCCAGGCGAACTGGATGTTGGCGGGCTGGGGCTCGCCGGGGGGCACGGCGGTGAGGGGCGAGACGAAGGAGTTGGTGTCGGTGTTGATGGCGCAGTAGCGCATCATGGCCTCGAAGGAGTCGGCTGGGTAGGTCTTGAGCAGCGCGGCTAGCGCGGCGGACAGCCAGTCTGGTGGCGGCGGCTGTGAGGTGTGGTTAAGAAGGACGCTCAAACGGGAAGGGGAGGGGGGAGGGGGAAAAGAAGGTGGAATGTACAGGTGGGTCCGGGTTGGCGCCGTTAGGCCCGGGTGGCGGAGCGGGAACACGGCCTATTTGGTTCTGAAGTGATAGTACGTTGTTAGGCCTGGGCGGAAGGTGCTGGTTACTTGTAGAGGTGGCGGACGGGGGCCCCATGGGGCCTGGGGTGGTAGCGCTTGGGGCTCGTTGGTGGGCGAGTGTGGGCGTGGCGGATGAGTGTGGTGTTTGTCTAGCCCGGAGATCGCGCATGAGCTTCCGTAGTTTCGAGGGGTTGACGTGAAGGGTGACGATGTATTGTTGGGGTTCTTCGGTCTGTTCTCGGGTGGCTTCACGGCCGACACGGCGGGATGTGCGTGTTTCGTGATGGTGAATGATGGCTTCGGGAGTTTCGGAGCGCCCCAGGTTTGCCATGCGCTGAGCGGCTGCGCTAGCAGCACCGCGCATCCCTCTAGTCCTCGCGGTCCCCTGGAGCTGCGACATGGCGGGTGAGTCGGGGGCGGAGTCGTCGCTATCATCGGAGTCAGACAGGTCGCCGTCACGAGCTGCCCGTTTGCCTCTGCCCGTCAAACCACCGCCCATCGCCCGCTTGTAGAGGCGACTATCCTCGACGTTCGTCGCAGCACCGGGCAATACCGAGGAAACAATGGATGTCCGTATCGTCCTCTGGCGCTCTTTGAGGTCGGGCAACTGAGGGCCGCCGCGCCGGTTGATCGAGCGCTTCTGTCTACGTTGCTCGCGCGAGAACATGGTCTCGGTCCTCTCGAGCTCGGCCTCCGTGTTCTCGTACAAATAGAGCGCGTAGTCTTTCGCTTGTTGCTGCGGCCTGAAAACGGAGGGTAGGGGGGTCGGGAGGAACGCAGCTACGAGGTCCGCGTCCTCGATCGGGCGGCCGTCGAAAAGGATGACCAACGCTGTACAAGCTGCGGGTGAAAAGCTGCGACTGTTCGCGTATGCAGTGGGCAATTGCTGTTGTGAATTCGCCTGACAGCGACAAGTCGCGCGCCATGCTGGTGGCGAAGTCCTCGGGTGTATTCATAGGATTGTTGACATCCCATTCAAACTGGTCGACTAGCGTATGGGCTCCGATCGTAATATTAAGTTTGACCAGGATGCGCATCTCGTCGTTTTTGTAGGCCAAGTACGGAAGTTCTGGGTCAAGAGCGTCTTCCTCGGAATAAGCGAAGGGGTAAAAATCATTCAGCTGCTCGTGTATTTGCTGCACAACCTGGTCATACACAGGCTTGTCAACACCCGGGTTCAAGCCCATATCCTCGATTAACTGAGCCGCAAAAAGCTCGACGGATACGAGTCGCTCGTGGAGGTTAAAGGTGAAGGTGTCGCGCAGCTTGATCTTATCCCAGTCGACGTCTATCCGGACGGGCACCAGCTCCTCGTGCTGCTCGGCCTGCTTCTTCATATCTTTCTTGGCAAACTTTAGGGCGGGCGTGGCCCTCCTCCCGGGGCGTGGTTTTTGCATTGGGTATATGATTTTTGTCGTGCCGCCATTTTCGGTGTAGCCGTTGCCGTAGCCACGATAGCCCTCTCCGTAGAGTCGGGCAGGGAAGGCAGCATAGAAATCGCGGTATTGGCGGTAGTCACTGGCGCGTGAAAGCATATCTTTGGTGTCCTTCTCGAGTCGGATCTGAGCTTCTTTGAGGGCCGCGGAATGAATCCAATCGTGGGTCTGGAAGCGTTCAACGATGGCTCTATCCAGGGCCGCCTTGTCGCGAGTCGGAAGGGTGCTGGTCGCATCGGCTTGGGGAGTGGCGGAGTTGGAAGGTATGGCATTGGCTGTCGGGGGGGCTACCGCGGGAGCGGCGGATGAAGATGAAGCGGAACTCGGGGGCGCTGTTGATGATGGTCCGTCGCCGTCGCCGCCAGCAGCCAACGATGCGGACACTTGGGAAGTAGCCATATTGAATACAAAAAGGGGAAGGGGTCAATCCTGAAGAAGAAAAAAAAAATAAAAAGAGAATAAGGAAAAAAAAAAATGACTGCAATTAAGCAGTAGAGAGAATACCCAGATGCGCGATTCGTACGGTGTCGGCGTCGTGTGGACTGGGGTATGTGCTGCTGTAAATGTCGAGATGCGACGATACGCTGTCGCTCTAGTTCTGTTCGCGATGAGGCTGGCCCCAGGACAAGACGGGATGCGCGAAGGTCGGAGAAACGGCGACGCGCAACTAGCTAGCCAATGAAACGACAGACAGCAGAGGCGAGCATGGTAAAGTGCGGGTCATGACTGAGGGACATGTTTGCGCGCCGAGGCGGCCTGGGTACAGAACATGGCGGCCTTGGCAGCAGCTGTGGCTCGTGCTTCTTTGCTCGAAGCAGCCCCTCGGGTCGTCATCAAAAAATGGGCGGGCCCAGTCGCGCATGCGGGCAGCTCCAAGCCAGGCGCAGAGCGGAGCCTGGACACAAACCAGAGAAACCCCTCCCCCGCTTCGACAAAAATCAAGGAGCAGAAACTCAAAACCGTCACGGACCCCGCAGTTTGTTCCTTGACTTCCTTCTGGTCCCTTTGCCGTGGTCCTATTTATTCCCTTGGACACGTTTAAATTTTATCTTATTTTGACGACGCTCGCTCGAGCATAGCTGGCCAAAATGGCGACCGAAAACCAGACAATCGGTCAGTGGACGAGAATGTTTCTGTTCCCCTCAGGAGCTTCCCCTCCAATTCCCAAGCTCCCCTGAGCTCCCCAAGCTCTCTCTTTCCCTCTCTCCCTCTCTGCGATCCACCCACTACCCCAATCTCAATCTTGCCCGTTTACGTCGGCCGTTGGTTTGGTTCGTTTATTCAGGTGCTTGTTCGGGTTGCTCGCAGCCCCCCCCTGTGCCGCTCTGCTCTGTCCCGGTTGTCCGGCTCCCGTCCCACGCCGCTTCCCAATTCCGGCCATAGGCCATTGTGTGCATCTAGTGCTGATATTTGTCCTAGACTATTCCCTCAACAACCCCGACACCCTCACCAAGTACAAGACGGCCGCCCAGATCTCCGAGAAGGTCCTGGCCGACGTGTCCAAGCTCTGCGTCGCCGGTGCCAAGATCGTCGATCTTTGCGAACAGGGAGACAAGCTCATCGAGGAGGAACTTGCTAAGGTTTACCGTGGCAAGAAGATCACCAAGGGTGTGTTGTATCTGGGCTCTTGTCGGAATCGGTAGTAGCTGTTTACTAACGGCGGATACCCCAGGCTTCGCGCACCCCACCACCGTCTCCCCCGCTGCTTTCGTGACTCCTTACACCCCTCTCAGGTCGGACGAGAAGGAGGCTGAGGTAGAGCTCCAGGCTGGCGAGCCCGTAAAGATCCAGCTGGGCGCCCAAATTGACGGGTTCGGTTCCATTGTGTGCGACACGGTTTTGGCCAAGAAGGCCGACGAGGACCAAGATGTTATCGAGGGTCGGTCAGCCGACCTGCTCCTGGCCACCCACTATGCCAACGAACTCCTTCTCCGACTGATGGTCCCCCCCGGCCTCCTAGCCCAGGGCACCGACGAGGAGAAGGCGAAGGCGGCTGCTGCCAAGGCCCCGTCGCAATCCAAGATCACCAGTCTCCTGGAGAAGGTCGCCGAGGCCTACGAGTGCAACATCGTCGAGAGCACCACTTCGTGGCTCTTTGACCGGAACGAGATCGAAGGAAGCAAAAAGATTGTCATTTCCCCTGGCGAAGGTACTAAGGGCGACGGTGTTCCCGCTGTTGGCGAGGCTTGGGGTGTCGAGGTGGGCGTGAGTCTTGGGTCGGGTAAGGTCAAGCAGTTCGAACAGCGGACTACCCTCCATCGCCGCACCGCCAACACATATGCCCTAAAGCGGCCTACGTCCCGGAAGATTCTGTCCGAGGTGCAGAAGAAGTTCGGTACCTTCCCGTTCAGCCTGCGGCAGCTTGAGGACGAGCGTGACGCCAAGTCTGGCGTCATTGAATGCGTGCGTGGCAACGTCTTCCGCCAGTATGAGGTTACGGGCGACAAGGACAACTCCCCCGTGGCCAGGCTTCTGACCACTCTCGGTAAGCCATACTTGCACTGCACGAGAGGAAAGTGTATGCTCACTGTGACCTAGCAATTACCAAAAACGGTATTACCAAGCTGGGTGCCCCACCCGCATTGGACCTGAGCAAGCTCAAGTCAGACAAGAAGATCGAGGACGAGGAGGTTCTCAAGATCCTAGAACAGCCCCTGTCTCGGAATACGGGTAAGAACAAGAAGAACAAGAAGAAGAAGAAGCCGGCCAAGAAGGCAGCGGCGAAGGAGGGAGGAGACGACGAGGAAGAAGAGAGCGACGAGGAGTAGGCATCGGATGGGACTTGAGTCAGAACGGTCTGGGGGCTATCCACTTCTACCTAACATGGCCAAGGCCTACCTAGCCTTACGGTTTCTGCCCTAGCATTATGGTATCAGTCCCCAGTCTCCGGCCTCCCGAAGAGCGGAATCGATGACGATGACGAAATAGGCACTGCGTGTTCAGGCTGGGAGGTCCACCACACGCAGTGACCTGCATCGGCCTAGCGCTCGATCTTGACCCGAAGCCAACATTATCACAGCGAAAATCCTGCTTGGAGGGAGAGGCGAGAGGGGAAGATGGAGTCGTAACTTTCGGTCAAGGAACAAATGTCAAGAAAAAATGGCAGTGCACTCGTTAGCTATGGTGACCCGTGACCCTGCTTGCGCAACCGAAAGCTAGGCCGAGCTTTGTTATTGTTGACGAGGAATACGCCAAGTTTATTCGATTACTCGGTTTCGAATCCCCCTATTGTTATTGTAGGCGATTCCGCACGTTGATTTAGGTTATTGTTTGCTATTGTGGTTGTGCTGATAATCGATGGCAAAACAGAAGCATTCTACGGAGGGTCGGGTGAACGAACGAACCCCTTACCTCATTGTTTTCAATCACCCCCCTTCTTCCTCCCACTTCTCCTTCCACCCACACATTTTCACCATCATCCCCCCCATCATCTTCTTCTTCCGCACGCTACATTCTCTCAAACTTGCAAACCCCACGATCTTATTTTCGTGTTATGAAGGAGTAATAGCAAAGCGGCAAACGCGCCGCGCGAGTTGACTTCTCTTACGTTCAGGGGCATCCGCCTAAAATCAGTGCGACCCATCCTGAACATCAAGAAATCAGTGACAACAGGTCATCCAGAACAAAAATCACGACTTTTTCTTCTCGCATCTGACCTAGAGAAGGATTTACAAAGCCCCGGAATCAGTCGGGGTCGAATTTGCGTCCACCCACGCGGGAGGCACACGCTGTGAGCTTAGCAGCCACACCCCCCCTGGTCAGTCGCTCAGCACCCCCCCAGGAAAGCTAAGATCGCTTTCTCTCCCTACACCTCCTTCTCTCGCAAGCTTTCCCAACAATCACTCGAACCACACGCGAAAACACCCAAAACGCGACCTTCCTTTTTATCTTCCTACCCGGATTCATGCCCGGGGGCGACAGAACGGTACGTTGCACGCATTTCCCTAATTTTTTTTTTTTTTGCAGCGATGCTAACACGCCCCGCAGGTGCAAAAAGACGGATCATTATTGTTGGTTCCATCATTGAAGGGGGCCACCGCGGGCCAGTGGTCTGCTGCATCTCCTGCCAGCACCCCAACTCCCACCATGCCGGCGAACAACACCACAGTCTCGGCCAATACGCGGGCCACCCGATCGCGTTTTTCGAGTCCGCAGACAGCAGCAAACGGAGCGACGACCGATTCCTCCTCGAGGCTTCAGGGCGCAAGTGGCGGCAACAGTACGGGCAACAGCAGCACAACGAACGGGGCCGAAGGGTCGAAGACATTGCTGCAGCGCTGGCTCGAGCCTCCGGTGCAAGTAAAAGCCAGTTACCAGGACGCCGGACTCGTGCGCCAGGGCGTATTCGAGAATATGGCACCACTTGGGACGCTACCAAAGGTTGGCCTTTTTCGGAAGACAGCGCCACCTCCTCCGGCGGCGACTGCCCCTGCACCTGCACCTGCGCAGCGTGCACCAGTCCGCATCGTCATTAAGCAGAGGAAACCTGCCCTGCCTTCCACGCCGGCCCCCGCACCACCTCCCGCGCCCGAAGAAGACGAAACGGAGGCGGATGAGACGGTAGACGAGGATGACGGCAAGACAGAGGATCAAGACGAGGAACGGCTCTTTCCTGCCGATAAGGAGCACCACAAGGCTCGCACAACAGCTGCATCGCAACGCTCGCGTCGGTCGGTCACCTCGTTGGAGACGGATTACCAGGGGTGGACGCCGAGCACATCGGCCCAAAATGGCAGATCGCGACGGAGCATATCACGGGCGAGCAGTGGACCGCTGCAGCAACTGCCAACGGGCACGAATGATGGCTTGCGGCCGTTTGTCCAGAGGGAGTCTATCGGAAAAGTTGTGGAGGCTGCTATTGAGGACGCGCTCACTCATTTTCGGTACCCCACTGCTTGGGCCCTGCGCACGCTCTACAAGGAAAAATCATCCGAGCAAGAATTTCTCACCATGATTGAGAAGGTGGCTCGCCAGACAGCCAACGCCGACGAACTGGAACAATTCGCCCGATGCATCCTGGCCAAGAAGAAGGAAGGCAAGAAAGACAACCAAGCCTTCTTCAACTTCGAGCCATCGACTACCGGCGGCGCTGCCTCTTCCGCGCCACAGAAGCCGCAGAAGCCCAAGAAGGCTCCCTACGGCAACCTCGTCAAATTTGGTATTTCTAGCCTGCGCCTGGATCAGGACGGCAGCGAACCTCGAAAGAGGAGGGAGCGAACGGTGGACACGGCTCTAGATTCCGAATCCGTACCCGCACCCGCACCCGAGCCCGAGCGGGCGGCCAAACCTCAGGAGTCTGAGCCTGAGCTGGAACCTGAAATTGAACCAGAGCCAGAGCCAGAGCCAGAGCCAGAGCTAAAACCAGAGCCTGAGCCCGAACCCGAGTTCCAGCTCCCCCCGCGCAAAAAGCGCAAATCCGGCAGGCAGCAGTCGGAGGCGACAGCGTCGTCGTCATCGAAGATGGCATCCAACGGCACAAACGTCAAGAGGAACCCGGAGACGCCCCCTCGGAGGCGGACCCGGGCTCGCTCAGAGTCGAGTCTCTCCTCACTTTCCAGCGTCCGATCCTTGACGCCGCCGGTGGATGAAACCCGAGAAGACGGTGAGGAGGACCAAGGGTTTGATGAGGCACCCCCCTCGCGGACCAGCCCTGCGCCGGCTGTCCAGCCAATCACAGCCAACAAGCGCCGTCGGTCCAACGCACCGCGAAAGAGCCGGAACGTGTCACCCTCCCGACCCTCGCCCGTCGCGTCCAACTCCACTGCGCCGCAGCGACCGGCCGCCGCTGTTCTTCCATCGCAGCCCCCGCAGCCGACCCAACGGCAATCTCCCGCTGCTGAGCAGCCCGCTGTTCACGACGAGCAGCAACCTTATGAGATGCCTGCCGTCGTCGACTCGCCGCTCTTCCCGAACTTCAATTCGAAGAAGGGTGGCAAGTCCGGCACACCGTCGCTCGTCCTGGCCACCAAGCTGGGCAAGATTGACCCAGAGGACCCCAACCTGCGCCATCGCCAGGAGGCACGCAGGGTGACCAACACTGCATTCCCCGTCAGTGACGTCAGGGGAGGCTCTCCGCAGGCTGCATCCAAGCAGGCGAACCTCGAGGAGCAAACCAGAACGGCGACGCCAGCCACGCCGGCGACGGTGCCTGCATCGCGACCGCGGGCTACTCTCCCATCCGCCCGCGCGACGCCTGCTCCGAGGGAAGGACGAAGCACGCGCTCGTCGCTCAAGCGGACGCACGATGATCTGGAGGACCAGCCATCGCCGACGGCCACCAACTTCCCAGGATCCGAAGCAGCGTCCGCCGCGGCCGACTCACGTGCCGGGACACCAGCTCTGCGGGCGGTCAAGAAGCCCAGGGCCGGGCTTAGGGTTAAAAACTCGTAAGCATCACATCTCTCCGACTTGCGACATGATTCGACTTGAAACAGTGCATTTTAGCTAACCATCCCACCCATCTAGGCCTATGAAGAAGAAGCATGCTCCGTCGGCCGGCATTCCTCGTTTGAGCGGAGAGCGCAGCAGTCCCGTAGGCAATGCCCCGAGAGAGGTATGTCATGGTTTTCTTTCCCTTTCCTTTCCCGTCCATCATCAATCCATCCATCCATCATCATCATCCCTCATCCATCCTATCCTTTGCGTCAAGCCGAGCTGCCCGGGCACTGGGACCAAGGCTGGGTGCAAGCGCACCTCCCAGGTCCAGGGTCCGGGGGCCGGGGGGCGGGCGTGTCCCCCCCCCCCCAACATCCAATTTTAGTGGCAAAGTGCCACCCACGCCCAGATGGGGCTGCCGTTTTGCCGGAATATGGCGCACACAACTCGCACCCACCCCTTGCCATGGCTGTTGCTGACTTGGCGCCACCAACTCAGGACGATAACGACGACTACTGCACGTCTTGCGGCGGCAATGGTCAGCTCATCTGCTGCGACGGATGCACACGGTCCTTCCACTTCATCTGCGTGGATCCGGTGCTGAGTAATGAGGCCATGACCGTCGAGTTCTTCTGCAACGTGTGTCGCGTCAGCCGAGACCCTGCACGCCTGCCTACCCATGGCGGAATATTTGCCGTGATGCTGGAGAAGCTCGACGCGAGTAACTCGAGCGCCTTCCGCCTGCCGGCCCCCATCCGCGATCTCTTCGAAGGCGTGCGCACCGGTCCCGACGGCGAATACGAGGAGATAGTGAACGTGGTGAAACCTCCCGCTCGGTGAGTACTCAACCATTCCTTTATTGCCTTTTGTATCTCCGCCTCCAGCCTGCTGACTGCTACGATAGTAAAAAGAAGAGCGAGGAAGACCAGCTCCCCGACTTGCACCGCTTGCGCGACGCAAAAGGGAATGTCATCATCTGCCAAAACTGCCGGAAGAGCGCCGGCCCGGACCGCGCCCTCATCCCCTGCAGCGCCTGTGGCCTCTTTTGGCACATGGACTGCCTGGAAGTTCCGCTGGCTTCTCCGCCTTCCTTGCGCACCTGGAAATGTCCGCTGCACACCGACAGCCTTCTTGGGGCGCTGCCCGTTCATCACCCGGGCCATAAGTACCGCAAACTGAAAAACGCGCCCGTCATCACGCCCACCTTCACCAGGGGCTACGTCAACAATGGCTTTATCGAAGTCGACCTAGACGACAGCGATGATGAGAGCGGGTGGAGGGACGTCGAGACTTTCGGCCGGACTGTGCGCCTCTCGGAAAGGGGCATCAAACTTGATTTTATCTCTCGGTGAGTAATTTCGTTTTCATGATATTCCCTTGTAATTCGGCCTCCTGACTATTTCTAGTATCCGTGGCCAGTTGAAGAAGACAGCCACTCGGCCGGCATCGCCGGAACCACCGGCACCCCCCGGTACCACGTCCGATGGAGCAAAGATCAGTCGAAGAGCTGCAGGCTGCTCTCAACCTAGCCCAACTGAGTGTCGCACGCGACGATAACGTCGCCACTCTCATCAATGCCATGATCGTAAGTTTGATTACTTCCCGTTTGCTCTCTCCCATACTAACGTCTCCAAAAAGTCCCAAGCCGACCCGTTAACCATCGACGTAATGGCTCGGGCCAACGCTACCCAGTTAGAGAGCACCCAACTGGATCATATGGACCAGCAGAGCCTGCGCGCCATGCTCGCCAACGCAGAGTCGATGGCCAACCATATCCGCCGGCTCCTGGCATCGTCCACCAGCGAACAACCCGCTCCACGAGCCATGGGTGCAAAGGCCGATGCCGAGCAAACCTCTACCATGACGCCCAGCCTCGCCAATTCGCAATCCCCCGATCCCGATTCCGACAACTCGGCCAATCTGACCACTGGCCCTAGCGCTATGGAGATAGACGCGGCTAAAAGCCCTCCTTCACCGGCCACCACCGATGACGTCCCTGCCATGACGCAGGGCGAGAAAACGCCCATCCAGGGTGACCAGTCACCTGCTGCTCCCCTGCCTCTGGAGCAAACTGCCCCGATTGAGAGCGGCGGCGTCCCTGCGACTCCGACCAAGGTGGCCGCTCTTCCTGGTGACGAGCCGCTCGTTCTTGAGGCTGGTGGCGATGCAGAGAAGACGCTGGGCGAAGCTTGCGAAGGCGGCTCCATGGAGATGGAGTGATTCATCTCTGGGAAAGACCGGCAATGTCTCTTGTCTTTCGGCGGCACCTGCAACACTCACTGAGCAGAAGAAGCTCGACGCACTTTTCGAGAACGATGAACCTTCGAAACGGGGCCTTCAATATATTTCTTTCTTAACCTATACGATACCGCGCTACTCAACGGCGCTATACACCTTTTGGAAGGGCGGCGCCGTTCCACTACTTAATCATCACGCCGACCCGTACTTGCGCCCATATCACCGCGATTTGGGAATTCCGCAACTTCATGTCCTCACCGTTCATCCCACTGTTATATCTAGTGGTGTGATATCACAACACACCGTTTTCCCACTATTTCCCAGCTTTCGGCCAGCGTCTGCGAAAAAAAAAAGACAGGCGAAAGCAACCCGCTAAAATGCTCTCGGCCCGGCTCGATTCAACCAGCCAAGGGGAGAGCGCAAGAATTTCTTTTTTTCCATTCACCATTTCCTGCTTATTTGTCAAACAATGTGTCAATAGCGATTGCGGATCATCGGGCCCGGGTTCTTTTCATTCGGCGCGCGGACTCGGCAGGCGGTGTCTAGTTACAGGGGAGTTGGAGTTGGCGGATCTTTCAGCCAGCCACCGGGTCTCAGTCACCCAGGGATTTGGGGTTAGGCTCTTTGGGGTGGCATGGGCTTCTCGTGATTTGTCTCTTCGGTTTTCAGTCTTCAATCTTGATTCTTGATTCGCTTCTTCCTTTCTCCCCCTCTCGTCTTTATTAGTCACTACCTTCGCGACATTCGCCCTGACGAGCCATACCAAACTAGCCGGCTTCAAATTGCGAGCTAGCGGGTGGGCAGGTTACCAGGCAGGGCAATTTGAAAGATGGATGGGATGGGTAGATGGCGTGTCGCTGGGCGAGGGGGGGAGGGGATACTACTACGTACGTCCTTGAGATCCTTTTGACGAGGCGGCATCACTTATTAGATAGACGGGACGAATATTGGGCTGGCTAGTTGGCGGGCGGGCAGGTAGGCCAGGCAGGCCAGGCAAGCACCTTTGTGCTTATGATGACCTGCTCTTTCTTTCTGCATTTTCTAGCCTTCTGTGTGCGTTATAGCTAGGGGCTTAAAGAGATGGGGGATGTACGAAATGCATGGTTAATTATCCTCTGATTTGGGTGAAGTATGCGATGCTCTAAGGTAAAGGCTACTTGACCAAATCCAATGCAACGCAACGCTCTCGGCCGCTTGTAACGGACACTCTTGCAACCTACCTAGTGATGACCAGGGAAGGACGCAAGAACCTAGTATGATTCCTGAAGGGTAGCCTTGTGTGCGGAAACAAGCAAGAGGCCCGCTACCAGGTTTCCGCAACAACTACCTATACTTACTTACCATGTCGGTACTTCGAAGGAAGAGCTCTCTCGAATGACCTGCAGAAAAGTAGCGACAAGACATATTCCCCCAGGGAAGGACATCCATCCCCCTTGCATTTCACCAGACCAAACAAACCCCAGACCATGATCCAAAAACCACAGTAACGAATGATGCTCCCCTTTTTTGCGCCTGACCAAACCAACTCCAGACAACATGCAGGAACACAGCAGCAAATATTATTATTATTTCCTACACCGATATGCCCTGGGGCGCGCCGGTCCTTCTACTGCTATTTACAAAGGAAACCGTACCGTATAGGCCGGATAAAAACCTCTGTCTACCACTTTGAGACAACAATCTATGAATCCGTCATACTGCAAAAGAAAGGAGGCCCTTTGCCGGCCTCCGGGCCCTCTAGCCCTCCCCATCCACTGTTTCTAGCTCCAGCCTTCTGGCCAGCCTATACTCCAGTAGCCGGCCAGAGTCCATCAGCCAGCCAAGGACCTTCCTAACAAATCTTCTGCTCCGCGCACCTACTCCCCGTAATACGGTTTGTAGGTCCCGATGTGACCGAATCTCTTTGCCGTCCCACGGCCTTTGTAACGGCGGGTCGGGGCACCAAACCACCAAGTGCTCCACCGTCTCCCTGCCTCTCCCGCACTCGCAATAGGGGGTACGGACCTCCGGGACTTTCACCCTGAACAGGTAGTCCCGGAGGCCTATATCCCCGATACGGGCCTGGGAAAGGAGGGAGCTCTGCGCCTTTGTAAGACCTTCGTGTCTCATCAGAGCTTTGTCGGTAAATAAGAGGGCTGGGGGGTCTTCGTCGGCTATCCTCCTGTTTAATACTCTCTGTCGAGTAGTACTTTGTTGACTAGCTCTCTGTTGTTCCCACCGGGCCTGCCAGGCCAGTTCGACCACCTCCTTGGTATTCGACCCCTTAACCTTCCCCCCGATCTTCCATTTGTAGTTAACCCACTGGGCCACTACACTAGCGGCTAGTTCGGTGGGCGTGGGACTCTGCGGGCCCTGACGGGGCCTCCGGCCTCGGGTTTTCCTCCTCTTGTTGAACCTTCGGTAGACCTTATTGCAGGCCTCAGTAATTAGATGCCCCGTGGTTATTCTCTCAGCCTCCGGCCCAGCCCCTGACTGTAGGGCCTGCTTCTGTAGCCGGCCCTCGAAGTCGGCCAGCCGCTTGTTGAGATATAGGTCTAGCGGTGGCACCCAGGCCTCTGTTTCTAAGTACCGAATAGGAGCTGACTTGTATGCCCCTACTACTATTCGAAGGCTCCTGTTCTGAGCTTTTGACAAGACCTTTGCAGGCCCCTTCGGCCCTGTAGCTCTTGGAGCTGTTGGTTGGTGGAAGCTGGAGGCTCCGTAAGCTATGGCACTGCGGATGCACTTTACGTAGACCTCCCGAGCCCTGGATAGGCTCGGGCCCCACGTCTTTGCTGCAATCCTCGATAAGGCGAAATCTTGGGTTTTGAGTTTCCGTTCCACAGCTTGTTGGTGCGCCCTCCATGACAGCTTCCAGTCCAGCCAGACTCCTAGAAACCGAGCCGATTCCACTGGCTTAACTGTGCTGTAGCCACTGGCCCCTGGGTGGGCCAGGGCCACCGGGTTCTCCCACTGTCTCCGACCTTTGTTGAAGTGAATTAATTCGCACTTTTGGGGTGCGAACGCCATCCCCCGGGTACCAGCCCACTGCAAGCAGGTCTTCCAAGCTTTTTCCAGTTGCTGTGTATTGGCCTCTGGGTTCTTTCCAAAGGCCAGTAGGTTTGTGTCGTCTGCGAACCCTACTATGCTAACCAGTGGATGGGCTGTTTTCAGGGCCTGATATAGGGAGGCAATGTAGAGGATAAATAGGATCGGGGATAGTGGTGAGCCCTGGGGGACTCCCGCTGTGACTGGGATGTCCTCTGTTTTCTGGCCGTCGAAGTGGAGGATCGCAACTCACACAGCAGCAAATAACACGGCAACGAAACCCTTGTAGTGCGGAAACGAGTGCAGTAGGCGCAACCTCTTGTCTTGTGTGTATGCAAGTGGGATTCTCAAAAGTCTCATGGTGAAAGTGTACAAAAAACAACAACACCGGTAACAACAACAATGACAACAATAGAGGGCAGAGGAGCGAAGAAGAGTAACTCCCAGCCCAGGTCCCATTTTCCCAAACCAGTCCCCCACCCCAACTAACCAAGTAAGGTACGTTTCCACCCGGCCAGCCAACCAACCGACCTCGCCAGCCAGCGAGCCCAAAGATAAAAACAGAAAACACCATGACATCGCAAGTCGGCGGTGAAAAAGAGAGAGGGGGACTCACGCTTGAGCCTGTTCCGCCCATCCATCATCACACCACATCGATAGGAACAGGGCGAAACAATGGATGATAGGCGAGACAGGCGCGCGGGGCAGGGTAGGGGTAGGTACTCTGGTCGACAGCTGTGGATGATGGAATGTTCGCTCGTTTTTTCGTTTCTTCGCTGACCCGGCACCATTCCTCTCCCCAAGAGCCAACCAACAAACCCAACGCGACCACCATCCTCCGCTCCCCGCTCCCCTCCCGAAGAAAGAAAAAAAAAAGAGCAAAGAAAAAGACCCATCCCCTCATTCTTCATCGACCCGTTAAGCGAGCGCATCCGGGATCAGTCATACCTCCGGCCGTGAGCCATCTATCTGTACAATACAACTCGTCCACCGGTTTCCTTTCCCCCCTCTTTCCAGCCCGCGCCAGCCATAATGTAGCCGCATCCCTCGTCCGTCCGATGTGATTTCATCTCTGCAAAACAAAACAGATCATAAGCCTTTCTATCCACACAAACACATAAAAACTCGCGCACACACAAAACACACCCAACGGTACAGTACACCGCCTTATCACGGGCGGCGCTGCCGACCATCAGGCTGAGGGCTGCGACCTACACGACCACCACGCTGACGCGCATTCACTTGCTCCGACGGCGGCGGCTGCGGCATGTATCCTCCTGCTGCCCCAGGGGGCCCGCCATACCCGGGGAACCCGCCCATGCCCGGAGGCGGCGGCATGCCCATGCCAAATCCGCCCGGGGCTCCAAATGGAGCTTGTTGGCCGGCCCCGGCAGGAATCTGCGCTGCCGGCGGGATGGGGCTGCCGTTAGCCATGGGCTGGTTGGTGCGATACTGATCAATCGAGGCGCCAGGGGCCTGGAAGGCGCCGTAGCCACCAGCCTGCATGGAAGGGTAGTAGTTGTTCATGGGCGGCTGCGGATTGCCTCGGGCCAGCATGCTCTGTTGGTACTGCATCTGCTGGAGCGCGTTAGGCCCCATAAGCGGATTGCTAGCGGTGGGGAACATGGTGTTTTGGGCGTTGAAAGCAGGGAACTGGTCCATGCCTTCTCTGCTGCGCGGAACCACGTAGCCCATGTCGTAGCTGGCGGGAGCAGCGGCGTTCATCGCGTTGTAGTACTGCGAGTTGTTACCGCCACCGTACTGCCCGGCTTGTTGCTGAACGTGCTGCTGTTGCTGTTGCTGCTGCTGCTGCTGATGATGCGGAGCCGTGGTCGTCTGACGCGAGCCCGGACGCTGCCGTTCAACGTTTCCATGCTCACGAGGGGGGCCGCCACTCCCAGCACCACTGCTCCTAGTCGAAAGGCCCACCTCGTCCATTAGTCGCTTGTAGCCCTGCCCTGGCTGCGCTTTAATGCGGACCAGGACGGCCTTGACAGTCTCCACAACCTGGCCCCGAATCGCCTCGTCAAAGAACGGCGTGGTCAGGACCTTGAAAATTAGGGTTGCGCCGCAAGTATGGTCACTAAGGATTGCTTCCAATACTTGGTCGTTCGGGGTGAAGAAAAGGGCCTTGAGGATCGTATCCCGGGCTTCGGCCTCGGCCTTCTGGTTAATAACCTTCAAAACCGTCAAGTACGCAACCTTGTGGGTGCATAGATGGACAAGATAAGGGACGAGTTGAGGAGACAGCACTGTCCGTCGCTGCGGGAACGTGCAGGTGTCGAGAAACCAGGTGAGTAGCAGAGCGCCGTTGGCGTTGGTAGCGAGCTGCACACTGTGCAAGGCAATCGCGGCCGCCAACATCCTTTGCTGGTCCTTGGTGGAGTGGTGACTTTCGAGGCAGGCCCGCATGGCGCGAGCCCCGTAGCGACCCTGGGACACCTCCCACATCCTACTGAGCATCGTCTCGAAAATGAAGTCGTTGTAAGGAGAACCAAATTTTAGACATCCTTGCAAGACATAGTTGCCGTACTGGTCCAAGAACAGGGGGATTGTGTAGGGCCGCAGGTACTGCACAATAAGATTCATCTGCTGCGGTGTTTTGCAGACGTCGATGATCTTCTGGGCCGCCCAGGTGCCGTTCTTGTGCACGCCAATTTCGGCCATATGCGGGGCGATCTCAGCCAGCATCGAGTCACGAACCGCGTCGGAGCAGTGCTCGAATAGTTTTTGGACGACCGTATTTCCCAGATAGTCTGACGCGAGCTCGGCGATCTCGGGAAGCATCTCCATGGCAATACCCTCGATCTCTTGCTGAGAGAGCGACTGGTTGTCAATTCTCTTGCGAATGTCCCGGAGCTTCGGTGCATCATGGACCCGAGTGTGAGCGGGCTCCTTGATGGGCGGTATCTCGTCCACGAACGTGCTGTATTGAATTGCTTGCTGCAGGCTCACCGAGATGCGGAAGCAGTCTTCCTCGGTCGCCCCAAACTGCTGGATGATCTGAAGAATGTCTCCCGTCATCTTATGGAGGGGAAGGGCGGTCGGGGTGGCGTTGCCTGGCATGGGAGCAGGCCCAGTTTCGCCAGAGGCGCCGGCACCAACGCCTTGGACATTCTCCTGGGACTTGGAAAATGGATCAGGGCTGGGGGACGGGATGGCACCATCATGACCCGGTGTGCCGGTGCTCGAAGGCGGCTTCGCAAAGTTAATGCGAATCGGCCCGGCACCGGGGAAGATCTCCTTGCCATTCATGTTGGCTTTGGCAGCAATGGCACTCTCCACGCGCTCAAAGTTCACGAAGCCGCAGTTCTTGTGGGTCAGGACCCGAGCCGACACTATGGGCCCGTAGGTCTTGAACATCTCGGTCAGTGTCGACGTCGTGGTGGACGTCGGGATGCTGCCGAGCCACAAAGCACTGGTGGGTCCTTCCAGCCCCTGCTCATCCGCACCCAGCAGACCATTGTTCCGGCTGCTCGACCTCCCCAAGGACATGCCAGCGATAGCCTGCGGGAGGTCGTCAAAAGCCTTCTCGTCCGGTATCTGGATCTCGGCCGCCGTGAAAGAGTTGTCCAATCTCGAGGGGGTAGGGAGGTAGTTGCGGAGAAGGCGGGAGGCTGGTGCATCCAGGACACCTGCTGTCCGCGCGCGGGGGCGAGCGGCCTGGTTCGCAAAGGCCTGGACGGCCAGGTTGTGATTGTGGATCGCAGCGTTGGTCGCGGCGAGCTGGTCCTGGAGCTGGGCGTAATGGCTCTCCATGTACGACAAGGGGTCGGTCTCATACTCGTCCTCTTCTTCGTCAGCATACTTGTCTTTGTTGTTGACCGAATAGGACCGGAATCGGTTTGCGGCCTTGCTGAAGTCGGCGTAGGTGGGTATGTAAGGGGCAGTGGGAGCCAGCTGGGCTCGGGCTGGCTGGGGAGTCTCGGCTAAGCCAAGGTAATCCAGTGTTCTCATATGAACGTCCGTCTCAGCATTACCCTCGCGGGAGAACTGTGATTGGGCTGGAGAACTAGGCCCGTTAGACCCCAGGCTTGCGATGCTGGCCAAAGTGTTACCCCTGTCCCGACCGCTCGGGTTCCAGCTGCTGAAAATGGACGGCCCGAACGGTGAACTTGTCCCGGGTGTATGAGAGAACGGACTCCGCTGAGGCATTGAGCCTGCGCGGAGCCTTGAGAGCAGCGTTGAGGCCGTGGAAGCGTCATTGGGCGCCTCAAGGCCCGGCGAGGGCGACTTGAAAGGGGTCTGCGAGGGGCTTGGGCGTGAAGTCTTAGAGGCCAGGGCCGGGATGCCGAGTAAAGGATTACCGGCGGTGTTGGGCGAGAACCTGGATGGAAGCGTGCCGGCCCGGGCACGGCGGGTCTGTGGCAAGCTGTCGGGCGGAGGCAATTGGGCGAAGTCTGGGAAGCCATCGGTGGGCGACTCGGGAATGTTCTCGCGAAGCGGAGTCGAGTTTCCACTAGTAGGAGGCCCGCCCCACGGATTCAACGGCAGCCCCGGGACGCCTTCTTGAGCTTGTATCTCCCTTGCTCTGCGTGGCACGGTAAAAGTTAGCGGGTGATTGGTCTTGAGGGAAAGCGGGGCAGCGACTCACCGCTTGGTAAACAAACGTCCAGAGGCTGACATCTCGTGCGAGGGCGAGCCGGCGCCGGAGCGGGACGCGCTCGACATCTTCGAGGTGGGCGTGAGACCTGGGGACATACCAAAGGGCGACCGAAGAGTGCCGCCAGCAGACTGGGGGTCATTAGGCGAGGTGGTCGTCGGTGAGTTTGAGCGGCCCTGAGCGGAGAGGGTCTGCGGCGGGTAGCCGATGGTGAGGTGCTCGCCTGGTCGTGAAGCGGACATTATCAATTATTTGATCCCGGTCCTCCTCATCAGAAATATTTCGACGTATCGGCCCCGTTCGCACAGATAACACGGGAAGCCCAAAAGCAAAGGGCTGGGGGTGAATGTCTTCGACTGCTGTGAACGAGAGACGGTGCGACGACGTGCGCTGCGCGTCGAGGAGAGCGTCGACCTCTGGGGGGGAAAGAAGAGTTGCAGTTTTTTTTTTTTTTCGCAGGAACTGAAATCGAGTAACACCTGGGCCGAGAGTCGAAAATAGATGGATGCTGTGGCAGCGTCTCCTCAGAGGACAAGGTGGCAGGTGCAATTACAAGGCCAATGTGACGAACTTCGCCGGAGGGGGTCGTCGGATGGCGGCTAGTCGACGGGTAAAAAAAAAAAACTAAGGTCGACTCTGCAACTTTTCACTAAGGAGTGTATCAGGGCACGGGAGGCCGCAGATTATTGAGGCAAGGGGTAATTCCGAAAATCGAGATCGAGGTTTGGTGGTGGAAGCCAGAATGGCCAAAATGCTGGAAGCGCTTGTGAGAATGTTGCTGGCTGCGTTGGCACCGATGGAAATGCTGGGGAGGCTCCTGGACGGTTTTGGCTTGGCTTTTGCTGGGCGAGTTTAGTTACCAGGCTCGTGCTCCACTGCACCTGATTTTTCGATCGGACCACGGAGCGGCCCCCTGTTTCTTGGGGCTTGGGAAACAAGAGGAGGGGGAAAATCAAAGATCTAATCAATATACAGGCGTCATTAGGGGAGAATTGAGCCCGGAGAAGAACACACCGACTCTAAAAGGGGAGTGCGCAATGGGGCAAAGGAGGGAATCCACTCCTTGTGAATACGGGAATGTGGAGGAGCAAAAAAAAAGAGGAGAGGGGGAGTTGAAGTCGACGAGCGAGTGGAACGGGGTCAAGATGAAACACCTGGGAAGGGGGTGTGCGAGTACAGGTGCATACGCCATCTCGAGGTGGTCATAGACCTCGACAACTCAGGCTGTGGCTTCTGTAATTGGTTGTAAATTACGGACGCAGTTGCATTTTTTTTTTTCTCTTTGTTTTCTTTTTGTTGGGTAAGCCGCCTTCTCGAAAACTGTTTCTCGTGCAGGAAGGAGCCTCCGGGCCATGGCGTCGGGTGTCAGTGTCAGTGCTCAGCTCTGTGCCCTGCCGTTGGGTGCCCCACGACCCGAGCAGGTAAGCAGGCATTGACACCACTCACCCGCTCACTGAGACCTTCGCACTGACAGCTTGTGTGGCCTGGCGTCCATGCCTGCCTTCCATGCCTGGGTGCAAACTGACCTTGCATCCCGTCACATTTCGAGTTTCCAGGTTAGGGAGCCCTTGTCTCCCTTGCTTAAACCCTTTTGACGCACACCGCTACCAACGAACGCGTCGTCCCGACAAAACGACGTCATCGAGAGGGAATCTACAACAGCACATTCATCCATCCATATTTGCTCACCTCGGGTTGACAGATACGCAATACCTAATCTTACTGTATAGGTACACAGGGAACGAGAGACGCCTCCCAAGCTTCGTACGATTTACAGTTTCGCACGGAGTACGAATAGTCGATGCACCTCTATCGGAGTTGCAATGCCACCTTTCGCATTCCACGTTGCCCAGTTTGGTGTCACCCATCCTTGCAGCCCCTTCAGCGACCTGTTTGCGCTGATGCATGCTCGCGGCCCCGCTGGCCTCAGACAGGTGGACAGCCACGGCCATTGACTTTTTCCTAGAACGGTATTCGTACCAGAGGGGTGTTTTCTGGGTTCTTTCTGCTGGAAAGGTGCATGGGGTCACTACGCCTTGACAAACTCGGAGGAACAAAGCAACTTTGGCTGAAAGGGCCAATTCTACGAAGTATTGTGTAGTTGTGTGTACTTGGTATACGGTTACCTCGCTGTCCAAGCTAGGTTGTGGGTTGTCCTGACATTGGCCGACCCAAGTGCTCTTCGGCTCGTTGCTATTTCTGGCTGCGTAACTAACTGGGTAACCCTGAGGGCGAGCTCGCTCCCCCGATTCAGCCGCCCAACACGCAGCCAACCTCGCATATTTTACTATATATACATTAAGTTTGGTCGGCTGCCGACAAGAGCGAGTCCGCTTCCGAGATGCCCTTCGACGGCAGAGTTTCCCCTCCAAAGACATCAGACGAGGGGCAAGACTAACAGCCGAGCTGTGGAGGCACGGCATGCGACTGCGCGGCTCATGGTTGTTGCTAACCATCTTCTGACGAGGTATGTATGTACTTCGTAGTGGGCGAGGAAATGCTAAATTCAGGGGTTCTCATGTTCATCTCTTACTTTCTCAGCTCCCCAGTAACATGCTGTCCCCGCCCGATCGAGTGACGACAACGAAAACAAGCGTCTGCCATCCCACCCCGGCTGCATAACCCGGCAACATCAGCTTAAGATGTGTCCTAACGGATCCATGCCGGATCGTCGACGCCTTGGCAGCCACACCAATCAGCGCCGCACATGGAATTGCTGACCACCGAGGGGCCTTCCTCGAAAGACCTGAAACGCCGTGTCGAGTTGCCTCATTTGCAATTTTGTGCTTCCCCTCAACGTCTCCTGTTTGCTACCCGCACACCACGGAGTCCCGAGACCCGCTAAACTGGCCTAACCCCCCCTGGGAACCATGCCTCCATGCCCGGGAAGCAGGTTCTTGGCCGCCGCCCTCCCGACCCGCCGTACCCAGTGGCCCATCTTTGCAGATCTACCCGCCAAGAACTAACATACCAGAACGACCACCACTCGACTCAGGGTCTTCAGGGGGTGGCCTTGAGGGGGCCATTTTGTCCCACCACTAACCGCCGCGTAGTCTTGGGGCCAACATGCATCCCACAGGGCTCCCAGATAACCAATACACGATTCGTAAAGCAGTCCTCGAAGGAGGGTACGCCGCTCTGAATCCCCTGCAGGGGGGCCCACTTCTCCACGAAGAGTTGGAGGCTTGCTGTCTCGGAGCAAGGACAAGGATTGTTGGTTTCGCTCTACTCTATGTAGTTAGAAGCCTGTGTTTCAAGGCCGAACATTCAATGCTCGAAGACGGCAAGACGCCAGATCGACCCGTTGCTCTCCATAACGGAGCAAACATCAGGCCATGGTCGTCTGGGGGGTGCCTGGGCTTGGCCAGCTTTTGGTAGATCGTGGAACGCCGATCCAGGCAAGGACGGCTTCGATCCAACGGCACTAACTAGAGTCTCAAGCCGCTCCCCTACCCTGTCTCAAGTATGTCAAGCAGCGCCCAGTTAACCGCCGATCAGGAAACGAAACATGACCATGCCAGCCCCGCGGTGTCCCTAACAAGCTTACTCTGATAAAGAGCCTATATCACTCAGTGTCTATACAACCAGGGCCCCGTGTATTGTAGATGGACGGATGCACTGGTCGACTGGGAAGTTCACTCAGCATGGCAATGGTAGAGCAACCATCCTTGTCGAGAATGGAAAGTCCCCGGGGCAAATCCTGTCGAACCGGTTCTAGACCAACCCTAGAATATGCAAAGTGTCATGCCTGAGCTTCGACGAGCTTCAACTTGACAAAGTATGCTTCCCATCTTATCACTCCACACAACCCCGCGAGAGAAACACAACATCACCAGCTCATCAAAGCATCCTGCCCCCGAAGGACGGAAAGACGAGGCATAACAAGTTGAAAATAGCCCGGAAAAAACGGTACCTCAGACGTCTACTCACATTTGGGTAATCATGAAGCAGCGCCCACATCCCCATCTATCCGCTCGCATCAATTCAGGGGCAAGAACACACAAACAACAGCTAGTTTTATGTCACAACTATGGCAAGAAATAGCCCAGGACGGGCAACCTAACCTAATTCTATAAAACCGAACTGTCAAGTTCCCACATCGAGAAAGAAAAATCAAGATATCTAAGAGTATGAGGCCAAAAGCAAGCTATCTCTGACAGAAATACGTCAAAAAGAGACAAAAGTATCGGGTGGTGCCTATAAATCTCAACGCCATTTCAGGGAATGTCGCCCATGCCACTCCTCCACTCATAGTCCCTCCCAGGATGTGGCTGAGAATACACTGAAAGAGAAAGGCTCAGATGAAGCGAAAAAAAGAGAGAGAAACAAAAAAGCAGCGAGGAGAGAATGTAGACAAGTGAACCACATCTGCGATGGTAACTCTCAACTAGCAGAAAAACACAACCCGCAGCCCCTGCCTAGCTTTTCATTCATCCCTCATCCCTCATCCCACATTCCCTCCCTGGCCATCAGTCCAACCCAACCCAATCAGCTAGCCAGCCGAACCCGGCTTCCTTCACCCTGGCACCGACCGCACCAAATAGACATCCAGAACAAAACGCTGAATGGTCTGTCTGTTTCCCCGTCTGATCGTCTTTCATCACCGCTTGACATGCCCATATCAAATCAGTCAAATCATGCTCGTCGTCATCACATCATTGCTGGCTGCTGTTGCTACTACTACTGCTGCTGCTGCTGCTGCTGGACAACCCGATCTCACCAACCCACACATGAGACTTATTTAGCAACCCGCTTGAAGGCCAACAAATCGGCCAAGCTCGCCAGGGGACACCCATGTTTCAGGAAGTCGTGGTTGAGCAGCTCCTGAGCAGACGCGCGGCTCTTAACATCGACGCAAAGGCAGACTGACAAGAAAGCCTTGAGCTCCTTGCTCAGCTTCTCGGGCTTCTTGAGGCGAGGCGTGCCGTTGGTGGCGATGAGGTACAGGGCCTTGAGGGGCTCCTCGTTCAGGTAAGGGGGTTCTGACTCGATCATCTCGATGGCCATAATGCCGAGCGACCAGATGTCCACCTTGGGACCGTACTCCTTCTGCTTAACGACCTCCGGTGCCATCCAGTAAGGGGTGCCAACCATAGTGGCCCGCTTTGACTTGGTCTCGGTCAGTTTGGCGCAGAAGCCGAAGTCGGCTGGTGAAAGGTTAGCATGTGTCTTGTTAGGCAATCGTTTATGGATCGGAGAACGTACTGATCTTGACGTTTCCGCGGGCATCCAGGAGGACGTTGTCGCTCTTGATGTCGCGGTGGATAATGTTTTGCGAGTGAAGATGGTCGAGGCCTTGGCAGGTCTATCCTAGATGTTAGCTGATGGCTAAAACAAGCCACGAGAGAGATCCACGCACCTCGAGACAAATGGTTGAAATCTGCTCCTCCGTGATAATGGGGTTATTCTCAATGACATCCGTCAGAGCGCCACCCTCCATGTACTCCATTACCACCCAGAGTTCCTTGTCGTTGTCCATGAGGAAAGCGTCCAGGGAATTGACAATGTTGGGGTGCTTGTTTTCCCGCATGACAAGGATCTCGTTAACAATCAGCTCCTTGCGCGGCTGGTGCGCAAGGTCCATCTGTTTGATGGCAACACGGTCGCTGCCGGCCCGCAGCTTGGGATTGACAGGGGCACCAGGCCTTGTGCCCATGATTTTGGCCACATACACGGAGCCAGACGCGCCTTGTCCGATCTTCTTCTGCTTGGCGTACAGCCTGTTGGGGTCGTCTTTAGAGACAACCTCCCTCAGTTTGGCCATCACCTCGCCCTCTGACATGGTCGACATGCGCACATCTTGCTTACGCTCCGAGGGAGAAGGCTTGGCGGTTAGGGCGGCTTCGGCAGCCTTGACTGCATCCGTGTTGCCGCCAGGCTTCGAAACATTGAGGGGCTTTACCGGCGCGGGCAAGCGAGACGGCGGTTGCACTTGCGGTTGCCCGTTCGGACCACGCGCCTGCGTTTGGTTAGGATAGCGGGCGGTGGCCGAAGGGCCGTTGGCCTGGTCCATTCGGGGTGTCCTCTGCGTCTGTGCCGTGGGATCCCGGACTGAGGTAGAGCTATTTTGTTGCGCAAGAGGTGGGCGGGATGGGGCGGAGGACGTGCCTGGGGGTGCAGGCGCGGGCCGTTGCGCCCTGAGCGACTGAGCCTGGGGCGCCTTGGGAGCCGCTCGTGTTGGGTTGTACCGATCAGCTTGGGACGGAGGACTTGAATAACCGCCCCCAATCTCTTGTTGAGCAAGGGGAACTTTTGTCTTGGGGAGCGACGCATTGTAAGCCTCGAGTTCCCGGCGAGCCTGCTCTTCACGCTCAGCTCGCTGCCGCTCCACTTCTCGGGCGCGCTGCTCCTCCCGCATCCGATCGGCGGAGATGTAATTGGGGGACACGCCCTGCAGCTGTTGCATTTGCTGGTCCATCGCCCGCGGTGATGGCGAAGCAAGAGGCTGGGGGGACGGGCTTTGGTAAGACCCCGGGCTGCGTTGGATGGGCTTGGGCTGTCGCGGCGGTGCGACGGAGTTGCCACTTGGGTAACCAAATTGATCGTTCTGGAGGTTACTTGGCGATGCGACGGGCACCGGACTGCCACCATACTGGTCCGGGTTTTCGGCGCGCTTGGTCATGTCCGAGTAGAAATCCAGGACCTCGAAAACGGCCTGGGGGTTCTTCTCCACATCTTCCTTGGTGATGGCGGACGAATTGAGTAGCCTCGTCCATTCTTCCGGCAGCCCAGTAAACTGTCCTGTTTGGGGGTTGAACCCGACATGAACGGCGTGAGAGAAGTTGGAGGGGTTGCTGACCCCACCTGGGCAACGGGCATAGATGCAGTCGATCCACTCGTACAACTCGTCGTCTGTTTTGACGCAAATACGCAGGGATCTCACGCTGCCGTCGTCGTCTCCTGGAGGGCCCGGGTACGAATTGGTCATGTTCCGCCTGATCTCAAAAACCGGGTCGCCATTGTCATCCGGGATCCGATCGACGCTGACTACGTCTGATAGTTGGATTTTGTATAACCACTTGCCGTTCTCGTTCTTGTGGAAGTCCAGAATGTCCTGGCGGAGGATAAGGTATCTGCTTTTCCATTGTTGGAACGGATTCTTGCTCGGCAAGCCGACATAGCCCTGCTTGATGATGCCGAGTCCCCCGGCTCCGTCGAAACTATTGGAGCCCTGCCGCGAAATCGGGAGGGCTATGGTGGATCCACTGTATGTACTCGAGACTGGAGAAGCCACGCTCATGTTCGACATGCTATTTGTGAGGCTCACATTTGGCATGAGGCCGAGGCGAGGTTTATCTGTTGGAGGCCGTGGGGCAGGGCCGGGGTTCATGAACTGCCCGCTCGAGTAAACACTGAGAGACAGAATATATTAGCATTGGTAACTTGGACGTCAGTCGCACCCCCTTAAGGACGGCCAGCCAAGGGACTCAAGAGCCCAGCGACAGTCTAGGAACGGAGAAAAGGAGGTGGTGTCAAGTCCATCCCGGCCAACTCGTTCTTATCTCAGGAATGGCGTCCCGGGATCGCTCGCTGGCTTGAGGTTTAAGGAAATACACACTTATTATGCATCGACATTTTGGCGGTGATGTGAAGGTGCTGTAAAAAGACGGCGTGTGGTGTGTGAGGTGATGTCTCAGCCCACCGGACTTTGGACCAGGTCTGCTAGCTATCAGCAAATATCGCACCTAGTTGAGTTGGCAATTAACCTACCAAGCACCCCAAGGAGGAGACAGAATCCCTCGTTGGAAAGCGTGAAGGAACGATACCAAATATCGAACCCTGCGAAGTTGTATGTCGGGGCTGAGTTGTGGTCGGCACAGCGGGTAGTGCAAAAGTGAAGTCAACGGTGATTCACGAACGCAGAGTGCCGAATCGACAATGAATATCGCGTCGCGATCGATCAATCAGGCAGAGGTAGTTATGGTACCAGCAGTCGGTTCACAGTCGAACACACGGCTGGCACAAGGCCGAAAGCAACATGTGTAATTTTCGACGGAAAAGTCGAGAATCGCCGCACAGTTCGCCCAGTTCGCCCAGTTTGTTTGTTTAAAGTCGATCGGGTTCGCTCAAGAAATGAGACGGATGGCGGTCAGTCGAAAGGAGGGCTGGAGGGTCGGAATTGTGGGTTATCTCGGCAAACGCTCAGGAGGTCGACCGTGCGCTGTATTGGACAGCAAGAAGAGGAAGGCAGCGAGAGAATCAAATTTTTGGTGGGAAACGACCAAGGCTCGCTGTTTCAACTCTCAAATCACGAGACTAAGGCAAATGCTGCGATTAAAGAACTACCCGAGGGTGTGTTCGTCAGGAGTTGACAAAGAGACGGATTGCTTCAGGGAGGTCGGGTGCCTGTGGATCGCTCAGCAGGGAAGGGCTGGGCGCAACACTGCAATGGCTCGGCTGCGCTGGGGGAGGAGGGGTAAGTTTGCGGGACCCACTCAGGCTCAGCTGTTGCAGACCAGGGTCACGACCGTTAGGAAGGTACAGTAATTATTCGACTGATTCCATGATAAAGTTGGTACCCGGCTATGCGATCGTCGGCACCGAGACAAGGCTCAAAGGTATTGGTCCTTTAAGCGCGGTATGTTAACTGCGGCATAGCGGCCTGTTTCAAACTCAAACTGAACGATCTGATGCGGCAACAGGGCTCAACAGCAGTCTTCATATGTCGGTCGCTGCTTAATAGATACCTCGATGCCTAACTTATTAGTTACTGGGTAGGAATTTGATGCCAATGCAGGCAGGTTTCTCCTACCAAATACACACATGGGATCCTCCGGGACTTGCTAACGGTATTTGTTATACACAACCTGACTGCAGACGAGTTACATGCATGGTATATCGGTGGATGTTCAGGAGCAAGGCCGCCTCAAGGTCGCCTCCTTGCAGATAACTGTGTCGGGTTATGTGGGGCAAACGAAAGAAACTTCTAATCTAACCGTGTTTAATCTCGATGCGGTAAGCGATGGTAGCTGCCAGTTTTGTTTCTCGGGATTTTCTTACCTTCGCATCTCTCTTCAGTCAACGAACCCCATTTCATCCCATGTTTGTATGACTTTACATACCACTTAGGTATATCCCAAATTCGTATGAATTACTTTGAATACCACCTTGACCTCCATCGGAATGAATGAACCTTGACGTACCGTATCTGGCAGCAGCATGTCAGAATATACACACCTCGTCGAGATAGATTAAATCTCCCGAATCCATACAACTACATCTTCAAGAACTTTCCCTCCCTCGTCCATCCACTAACCTGTACCAAAAACCTCTCAGCAGGCCCGGCAGAGTAAGGGCGGCAGTCCGGCATCGCGACATTCCATTCTGCCTGAGCAGAACCCCGTTTCAGGCGGGTCGATCAACGGCCTCTTTTTGTAGCCAACATCAGCCCAACAATAACCGAACAAACAAACCCCCCCGACACTTGCCCATTTTGAAGGAAAGAGCAACAAATTTAGGGACGGTCCCGAGTGTACTCAGCAACCACTCCTCAATTACTACACAATCTCAGCTGAACGACTCGCCGCCCGCAGAATCAGGACCTGCACGCACGCACGCACATTGCCGCCCCCTCGAGAAAAGAGGGGATCGTTACACAGCAGCCGCCCCCCTCCATCCCCCCTTTCCGACAAAACTCAGTACTTCACACTTGTCGGTGGTGGCCATTAGCCGCTCCCGAATCCGCAACCCAGCCAGTCCCGCACCGGCACGAATCAGATTTCGGGAGCAGCACCTTCATCCCTGAACCCCCACCAGCAGGGAAACCACCTGCGGTTGGCCGGATTACCCGCCGCAACGACGCAGCAAGATCGTCGACCATCGTACCATACCTCCTCCTCCTCTTGCTTTTCTGCGGCCAGCCCTGAGCGAGTGACTGACTACCTTGCTGCTCTGGTTGTCTGTTGCTTGCGGCTTTCTTTCTCCACTTTTGCCGGCCCCTTTTTGCCCCCATGCTGTATCCACTGTTTCCCTGGCGGTGGTGTTTCTGAAGTGCGGATCCGCTGTCGCAGGATCCTTCGTTGCCACTTCGAAAGTGCGAAGCTGAGCGAAGGCCCGCCTCCGCGGGCTCGCTTTCCTGTTTCTGTCTAGAATAGAAGATGAGACTAGATAACGACGCCATGTTTTCGGCTATCGTGGGTGTCTCCTTCGGCGGATGTCCTGCACCCTTGAATTGGAAATTGTCGGTATCTTCGCGCGAGTGTACACCCAGAATCGTTAAAGACGGGGCCAGTGTAGGTGGGACCCAACGTCTCGAAAGAAACGAAAGGACGTAAAGGCAAGGATAAAAACTGGAATGTTTTTGTTTCACGCGATTCTTGTGCGGGTAGAGGCGGCTTGGCCTGCAGCATCGATGCATCGACGCGGCGAGGTGCCGCATCCTGCAGCTTGACATTGCATGGACACGGGGGAGATCTTCGAGATGCTACCGATGTCTCAGGCGGCTGGGTGCGTGAGTCCACGGGATTTACTGCAAAGCATGGAATCCCGAGGCCATGCGCACGTAACAAGAAGTATGATTTCATGAGGCCTCCTGCGCACTTGTATTCTCAAGTTCCAGCTGAGCTACGAGTCAAGGGCCATGGTGACATCAGAGATGGCCCTTCTCCTTGCCGTCTAGAGAGAGCTCTATTGTGGCGTATGCCAAAGGGTGTATGTAGTTGGCAAGGCGCGCTCAACCCGACCAAATAAAACCGAACCATCTTTTAACTCGACGCTGCTGTTCTTAACGGACAGTAACCTCCACCTCCTGCTGGCCCTCAAAGAGAGGCAGTTCAGACTCGATGTCCTGCCATGTCTTGGTGCCCTCGACCAACGCCCGGATGGCCTCGATGATCTTGTCCTCCTCAGCGCGCACCTGTCGCGTGCTATCACGCTCTCTGAGAGTGATGGTGTCGTCTTTGACCGTCTGAAAGTCGACGGTAATACCGAATGGCGTGCCCAGCTCGTCGTTTCTGCTGTACCGCTTGCCAATGCTAGCGGACGAGTCATCCACACGGCTAGAGATGCCGGCGGACCTGAGCTTCTGCGACAGCTTGCGGACGGCGGGCGCAAAGTCCTTGTGGGATGACAGAGGAACGATAAGGACCTTCGTCGGCGCGACCGCGGGAGGGAAGGACAGGACCTAACGAACGAAGTCAGCTTTATTTATGCTGCCTAAATCAATGGAGAATTCACTTACACCACGGGCCTCATCGCCACCCTCGCTGGCTCGGGTCCAGTAGTTGTGCTCCATCAGCGAGTACAGGATCCGGCCAATACCGAACGACGGCTCGATGACGTTAGGTGTGTACTCGCGAATGTTTTCAACGCGCTTCTGCCACTTGATGGCCAACAAGTCCTTGCTGACCTCGACGTTGCCGTCGCCAACACTGGGCACTTTGACGATGGTCTTGCCGTTCTCCTCCAGATCCTTAGCGAGCTTGCCGCGCTCCTCTTGTGTGGTAGCCAGGATGGCAGCCTCGATGGTCTTGCCATCCTTCTTGTAGAATGGGCCAAACTTCTTCTTCTCGATCTCAACCGCCCACTCCTCGATGATCTTGGGCTCATCCAGGCGCTGCCGCACAATCAGCGGCGCACCGGTTTTCTTAGCGTGGACGGACAAGTCGTAGGCGCTCCGGTCGGCACAGCCAACACACTCCACCCAGCCAGTCGAGGTGAGGAGCTCGGCGTCCCAGCAGTCGCAAGCGTAATGGGCCATCTCGTTGGCCATATGTTGCCTGAAACGGATCTTGGACTGGTCAATGCCAATCTTCTTAAGGAAGAGGTGGATGCGCGCCAGGAAGTAGCCAAGAGTCTCGTTGTCGACCAGACCGTCCTTGACGGCTTTCCCAACGGTCAGCTTCGTCGTAGTAGTCTTGCCAGACAGCTGGACGTGGCGGTCCAGGAACTCAAGCTCGATGTCCTCGACTTCATGGAACCGGTGGTGCTTCTTGTGGCCTTCGGGGTCGACAAAGTGTTCGATCTCCGCCATAAGAAACTCCCGAACACGTAGAAGACCAGCCCTTGGGGAAATCTCGTTGCGGTACGACTTTCCAATGGAAGCAGAGGCAAAGGGCATCTGACCAGTATTGAACTCAAGGAGCTTGGCGAAGTTCAAGAACTGGCCCTGGGCGGTTTCCGGCCGGAGGTAGCCAGGTGTGTTGCTGCTGGGGCCAATGGCCGTCTGGAACATGAGGTTGAACGCCACCGGAGGGCTGGGCTGTTCGCCGGTCGCGGGGTTCCTGAGGTCGTACTTCTTGATGAGCTCACCCAGCTGATCGCCATTGTAGTTGTCAATCTTTGCTAGCACCTCCTCGTACTCCTGAACCACAGCGTCATCCAGCTTGATGGCCTCCTGGCCCTTTGCCTTCTTCTTCTTCCGCTTAGAGTCCTCTGCCTTCTCCTCTGTCTTCTGGCCATCGCCAACATCCGCCTTCTCTTCCACCTTTTGGCCGCGGGCCTCCTTATCTCCCTTTAGCCGCGACTCGAGGACATCCTCCACAAAATGGTCGGCACGGAGGATCTCGCCGTTCTTAGGGTCCTTGCACATCCAGTCCGCAAACTTCTCAACGTGGCCGCTGGTCTTGAGAACCTCATGGGGCGTGAGGACGGTACAATCGACCTCGAGCATGTCCTCCTCGAGGATGAAGTGTTTGCGCCATAGGTCGATGATGTTTGCCTGCAGGGCGCAGCCAGGTGGCCCGTAGTCGTAAAGACCCGAGACACCACCGTAAATCTCGAACGAGGGAGTGTAGAACAAGCGACGGCGCAGGAGGGATTCGAGGGCCGCCTTGTCGAGGGGCTGGCCCTTGAGGGTGGTGGCTGTCGTGGTCATACTGGGCGTTTTCTTTTTTTTGGTGGGCGTATACTTTTTGAAAGCGTACGATCGCGGGGTAGAAGGAGCGAGAGCTGTGAGGCCACGAACCGGAAACCGAAAGACCCTTGGGGCCGTGACTGTGTGAAAGTTGAGCGCAATACCAACGAGTGGTGAAAAGAGAGGGGGTTGCAGAAAAGGCTTCATGAAACTTTGTTACAGTGGTTGCTTTGGCCCAACCAGGTGAGTCACGGCCCTTTTAGATCCTCTTTTTCACCGATTTCATACCCGGGAAGCTGCTTGCTGCGCCGATTGAGGGGACTCTGCATCTCGCCTCCACACTCCAAGCACATGCTACTGCCGGAAATTCAATTAGCCGCTAAAACTGCCCCGCGACAGGAACCAGGCCTGGGAGGCGCTCAAGCCTTAATGAGGGGCAACCAGAATCCCTGCAAGTTTTGAGGGTACCCCCTTGCACTGCATGGATTGGAGCCAAAAAATTTGGGGCGGTTCCGATAGCAGCAATTCTTCTGCGATAACAAACGGCGGCAAGAACAGCAACAGGAGACAAGTTCGCAACGATGGGTTCCGGAAGAGGATCGTCTGGGAGCTCCTTGTCTCTCAAAACATCGAATAAGCTGAAACGGAAACAGCTTTACGTTCAGCAAAAAAAGAACACCGGCAAAGCTCGCCACGAGGAGCGACACCGAAGGCGCAGGGAAGAGGCCAAGGACCCCGAATTGAGGAAGCAGCGGCTCGAGCAGAACCAACCCACGAGCATCGACAAGAAGAGGATATGGGATGATGTCGATGATGACACTCTCGGCGCTGTTGTGGATGTTGCCCAATTGAAGCGGCGGCGCTTGGAGGAGGCCGAGGCGGCAGCGGCAGCAGAGGCAGACGGCGCGGTAGACGGCGCTGTGGAAAAAGACGATGATGTCGACAGTATGCTTGGGTCCGATGAGGAGAGGGAAGGGGAGGACGACGACGAAGAGCGCATGGAGAAGCAACGCCAGCGGGCGCAGAGACAACCTAGCATCGCTCCATCAACCGTGTCCACGAATCTCGACCTTACCCCAGATGCCCTGGCCGCCCAATTCAAGTACCTATTTAGCGACGAACCTCCCGCGATGCCCAAGATTCTCGTCACCACTGGACTCAATGGGACAATCCATAAGGAGGCGCAGGATATTGCCTCCGTTCTCCCTAATGGTGGGCATCTCCTAAAACCGCTGGGCCACGATTCCGTGCTAACATTGCGTCTAGCCACCTACATCCCTCGGAGTGCTCATCGCTATGGTCACAAATACAGCGTGAGGGAGATTGCAAAATTTGCCAAGAGTCAGTCCAGCCTCATCCCTCCCGGCCTCAAACGATCACTAACACGCTACAAGACCGCGGATACACGGCGTTATTGGTGGTGCATGAAGACCTCAAACGGCCAAGCCAGCTCAGCGTGTGCCATCTCAATGGCGAGGATGCGCCGCCTGGACCTACCCTTACTTACACCATCCGGAACTACCAGCCAGGGAAAGCGATTCTCGGACACGGCAACCCCACCAACCACTATGTAAGGGTTTCCCTCCCTTCTCCCTCTTTCTTCTCGGCTGCTAACGAACATTAAGCCCGAGCTCCTTCTCAACGGCTTCAAGACTCCGCTAGGTCTGCTGGCGGCCAAGTCCATGAACACATTATTCCCCCCGAAACCCGAACTAGCAGGCCGGCAAGTCTTGACACTACACAACCAGCGCGATTACATCTTTTTCCGCCGGCATCGGTATATTTTCCGTGAAGCACGGGCGACGGAGAAGAATGTGCAGGGTGCGGACGGCAAAGAAATGGACGGGGTCAAGGGGATCCGCGCCGGGTTGCAGGAGATTGGACCCCGTAAGTCACACCCACGTGGGTTGGGGGGAGACATAGACGCTGACTTTTATAGGCATGACCCTGAAACTCCGTAGAGTTGACAAGGGGATTGGAAGGGCAGGCAGTGAAGGCGACGACGCCCTGAAGTGGGAATGGAAAGCGAAGATGGAGAAGAAGCGGACGCGCTTCAACCTGTAGGGGGAGATAGAAAGCGTGATACCCGGGGATGTAATCTGTATGTACGTGTTCGATCTAAACTATATACAACCAACCCTCAGCAAGCAACACCACAGAGCCAAGTTGGGTACTCTGGCATCTGCCTGGGTGGTGGGGGGGAGGGAACCCCCAGCACAAAATCCGGCGTGACCCTCTGCTATCATTTCCTTATTTCCCCTTTTGTACTGCCGTCTGCCCTGGTGTTTGCCCCTTCGTCTGCTTCCCCCTCTCATTCAGCATAATCACCGAGTATCTGTTTCCAGGTCAGCAACCAATTCCTACGTCAACCACTAGTAGCATAAAGAGAAAGAGGAGGGGAAGAAAAGAGGAGAAAAACAGCTCAACAAGCCAGAACAAAACCTACGCAAAAAACCCCCCTACGGCAACAATCACGCCCCCCAAACTCCCCCACTCGGCCACCCCCAACCCACCAACCGCCCCCCCCAACTCCCCCACTCGCCCACCCCCTTCCCACTGACCCACCCACCCCACACGCCACAATCCCGGCCCTCGCCACGTCTTGAAATGCCCCACGACGGTACTCGACACCGGGGACCGGGCCCCTTGCCACGATGAAAAACCTGCGAGATGGTGCCGAGGGCGGCGAACGCCGCCGGCTCAGCGCGATCAGCGACCAGGATCGGGTCCGGCGCCAGCGCGGGCCCACACGGGCGCCTGATATGAATCGGCGAGCTGCATCGCTGTACAGCTGCAGCCGCCGGCGGATACGGGCGCCTGATTCAACAGCAGCTGTATGATGGAGGAGGCTGCGGCCGCCGGTGGTACGCGCCGATCCACACGGTGTCGAGGGAGGAGGCGGCGGTGCTGGTGAGGGCGAAGAGGTAGCCGAGGGGGGTGGTTGTGGTGGTGGTGGGGCTGGTGGTAGGGGGGGTGAGGGATTCGTAGTAGGTGGACTAGTGGCCGAGGGGGAAGGGAGGTCGGAATAACGGCAAGGATCTAGGCCCGACGCCGAGGCCAGGCTGGGATAAGGGCAAGTATGGCGCGTGGTGGGAGGGATAAGGGGTAGAGTATGTAGTTGAGGTGGGGAAGGGTGGCGCGGTTAGGAGGAGGTAGTTGATCTGGGAGAAGGTGGGGGTGGAGGAGGACGAGGGAGATGTTGTAGAAGGTGACGGTGGAGGGACAAGGCGAGGGAGAGGTTGGGCAGGATGACGTTGAGGGACATGCGGCGAGGGAAGAAGGGGGAGGATGTCCGGGAGGGAGGGGCACGAGGAGCGGGAGAAAGAAGATCAAGGAGCGGAGGCAGGGAAAGGTTAGGACGAAGAGCTTGAGGAAAGGATTGGATGAAGAAGTGGAAGCAGGCAAAGGGTTAGTGTGGGGGTGAGCTTGAGGGAGGGAATCGGAGAAGAGGGCTTTGTTGGTGACAAGGCCTATAGTTGCGAGGGGGTTAGTGGTGGTTGATAATCAGGGTAGAAGTGCAAGAGGTCGTTTACAATGCCTTATCCGTTGCGAGGGTGTTTTGGAATCAGACCATCCAGACCCAAGACCCCCGAAGTGAAACGAGCTCCTCTGGCGTAGACTTTCCTTCCCCTCCGAGTTTCTTTTGGAAGCAGTTCATTATTCTCATGACCCCCGACGGACTCTAAATCATCTGGACAGGGCCTTTGGCTTCTCTTCATCGTTGCCGGGATGGTTGAAACCCGGGTTATTCGAGGGTTGAAAAGAAAAGGAATGAGAAGGGATAGGGCCGAGGGGGGGGACCTAGTCTTTTCGGTCCGACCATGTTGAGACTCGAGGCGTGGAACTAGTGCTTTCAAATGAAACGCACTTAGACAATATCCTGCCATGGGGGGGGATGTAGGCTTTACATTCCCAAACCCCGCCTTCCGAACTCACCCTGGGAAGTAACAGTGTGGTAGTTAAGGCTCGGCTTTTACATAAATCGCGGGAGAGATTTCAGGCCACATCAGCCAAGCCGCCATTCAGTCCCAAACGGGACGTGCCGAGCTCACCCAGGGAAGAAACAGTGTGCTTGTCAAGGCTCGCAGAAGTGGGTCCGGTCCTTTTGGTATAAGATGATTGGCCGTCAGAACAGAGCTGCTTGCAAAATCTCATGGCTCGTGTGTTTCATCTCTTCGAGACAATTGGAAGTCAATGATTCCTGCTAGCATCCCCGAAGAATCTCTGCCCGTCTGCTCCCCGAAAAACTATCTGGTATAATCCTTCTTCCAGTTGAGGCGGCCCCTGATTCGAGAGCAGCGCTTGGCCGTTCGCACGAGCTTGCCAAGGGGAGTGTTCAAGGCGGCCATCTCGGGTGGCACACACCTCTCAATCATGTCCGAGGTTGTAAGCACCCAGTCGTACGCCCTCTGTGCGACAACTCGTTGGTAAGCCGGCCACAGCTCCTCCCAGATTGCCTTCATCCCCTTGAGCTCGGGCATATGGAGATCCATGTTGACGACCTCCTGGTTGAACCCCTTGTATGCCTGCCGCCAAACGGGCTCAAGCCTGGGGTTGTTGATGTACTCAAACACCAAGAAGATCTGGAAACAACCTGGTTAGCAACTTGGAAGTAACTAGCACCCTTTGGCCAAAAAAAAAAAAGAAAGAAAGAAAGAAATTGAACTCGAAAGGGGACCAAAAAGTCAAGAAAAGAGAGAAAAAGTAACAGAAGACCAACAAAAGGAAAGAGAAAGAGAAAACCAAGCAAAAAAGTCAAGAAAAGAGAAAGAGGTAGGAACCGAGCAAAAAGTCAAGGGAGGAGAAAAAGTAAAAGTCAAGGAAAGAGAAAGAAAATAAAAGGGCGTTGGAAGGAAAGGAACCTACCCCCTGGAATGTCGCTTCAATCTTCTCGGCGGCCACTTTGTGGTTCTCCGGCGCGCCGCTGAGCATACCTGTGATTTCTGACTCCTCAACGGGTGCCAGGTTGCGTAAACCTAATAGGTCACCCTTTCATCGGGTTGATGTCACCCGTGGTCGCAACTAGGTTCTGCAGGTTGCCCCAGTCGCCTAGTGCTGTCATCACCCGGTCGGCAGGGGTGTTTTCGGGGGGGCGATAGTTTTCCGGCATGCCCTTGACGGATGGGTCATGAACCGGGTTCAGATCGATGTTGGAGGGGTAGCGTTTATGCCACCCCGTGAGGATGTTCTCCTCGGTAATCTTGGGTGCCTCGATGGGCTGCGTGGCAGCTTTCTTGTCCACCTTGGGCAGGCCGCCCGTGTACGCGGTTCGCAACAGCATCTTGACGATCTGGAGCTCGAAGAGATGGTCAGTCTGGAATTTCGCATCCTTGGCCATGTCCGACGCTTGAGTGTAGATGACGCCCGAGCCAGTGCGGATGTCGGTTGCTTTGCTGCGGAACAGTTAGTCGGGGTCGCCCCTTTTATGGATTACCGAGAGGTAGTCACTGACCTGAAGCTGCCCTTGAGAAGCATTGTAGAGAGCCCGGGGCCAGAGCGGAAGAGGTAACCCCAGTTTTGGGGGTTGCAGGTGGGATACCGACGCGAGCTCCATTCGAGTGTGCGTTTGGTCTTCGGCAATTCCAACTTGTATTTCCTCTTCCGGCCCGTGGGCTGGGATACGAAGTCATGTCGTGTGTTCTTCTGCGGGTTGCTCCGCCATGCACCCCGCCAGACACCCCGAAAGGTGCTCCGAAACGTAGTCCAAAACATATTCGAGCGTATTCTCGATCACGGCCTGGTTCGTAGCGTGTAGATTACAGAAGTCAGAGGCTAGGGGGGGAGGAAATAACCAGGTAGAGAGGAAGATAATATGCAGGCGAGAGTTTTGGACAAAGAAAAAGCGGCAAAGACATGTTTGGCAAACAAATGTAGGTAAGACAAAAAGACAAGTAGAACAGAGATAAGTGACGGGAAAAGACAGCTCAAGATAAAAGGCGAGAAGAAAAAAACGGTAAAGACATGTTTGGCAAATAGATATGGCTAAGGTAAAAAAAAGGACAAGTACCTAAGGAATAGAGGTGAGTGACAAAAAAAGACAGGTAAAGACAAAATGTGAGAAAGAAAAAACGGTAAAGACATGTTTGGCAAAGAGATATGGGCAAGACAAACAAGACAAGGAATAGAGGTAAGTGACAGAAAAAGACACTAGGTAAAGACAAAAGGTGAGAAAGAAAAAACGGCAAAGACATATTTGGCAAATAGATATGGGCAAGGCAAAAAAGGCAAGTGTGGAACCGAGGTGAGTAATGGAAAAAGATAGGTAAGGACAAAAGGAACTCACCTACCTAAATCCGACATTCATTCGGCCTTGCTTTTGAAGCCTCTTTGCGGTGTGAAGCGAGTATCCACGAGCCGGAAGGGACTAGGCTACATTGTAACAATGAGCCCTATCTATTCGGTTCACAAACTTAAACGGCCCATTGTGTTGAAGCCGTTCCTTCCTCTAAGCCGTAGAGTAACCACCTTCGAAGGTAGGAGCGGTTGGCTCTCAGGTTAAGAAAAGGAGCGGGCTGTAGATCGAGTGGATTAGGGGCTCCAAGCCGGCAACGTACCGTTAGCCTCCCGCTCACCGGCCTTGAGCTTGGGTACTATTTAGCGATGATGTCCTGGATCTCATCCATGATATTAGGCAAGATATATAGCGAAATAAATGGCAACTTACAGCCCCCTATTCCAGTGCATACTCCCGGTTTGGCTTCACCACTAAACTCGCATCTCGGCTTGTTGCAAATTGGGCCTTTCAGCGTGAACGAATGCTCTTTCGGTAAATTCAAGGCCGGGAGCAAGCTTTGGGGGAACTTTGGCTCACCAGAACAGCTCTGTGGCAATGGGCTGGGTCCAATGTAATTTGAGCTATCCCACACCCCGTGCAGGTCGCAAGTCATCTATCTGGGGGAGTGTGAGTTGACAACACTAATACTGTAGGGATACAGATATCAAGCAAGGGATGGATAATTACCCCGACTCACGATGTTGATCCAGTCGATGCCTTGGTGTTGTCTGGCTTGCCGCCTCGACCCGGAGCGCCGGGGTATTCCCAGTCAATGTCGACGCTATCCTACAAGGTGTTCAGGAATTCTAGCACGTCGTTGGCAAATGTGTGACGATTGACTGGACTGTGTGCAATGTTCAATTCCTAGCTAATCCCATGGACTCAGCGAGGACAGAAGGTCTCAGGGAGAAGAGGAACTGATCCTTGGGGAACCTCCCAAGGATCGAGCTCGGTTGGGTCCCCTTTGAACTCCTTACTTCATCATGCGCTCACCACGGAGTCGCCATTAGAATGTTTGGAACCAGGGGCCTCGATAGAGCAAGCACTCGATGTGACCCCTTGCAAGCACGGGCACTTAGTACAGTGCCGTGTGTAATTTTCACGATACTGCATACACCGGGTGTGATTGCACCTCGATACCTACACCGAACAACCTACCTTAGGTACCTCTACCAAGCAACACCGAGCGCGATTGCACGGCACCGTGTGTAGTCAACACCGGCTTTCACCGGCCACAGTGTTGCTCCGAATCTCTCCCACAATTTCACAATAAATTCGAGTGCAATGAATGATGAATGATGTATTCCTCAATCCTCCTCCACCATCCGCGATCAAGGGGTCCATTGCCCTAAGCTGGTCCTCAACAGCAACATGTTGCCCCGCGCCCTCTGGTCGAAGATTCAAGCCCCCCTCGTCAGACATTCGAGATCGCCTTTAAGATTTTCATCATGGCACTCTCTTCCAGCCCGAACTCTCCCTGTCGTCTCCGCAATTGGCATTAACGCACCTTCACAGACGCGCCTCAACTCTGCCGCCAGCGCAGTGAAAGCTGTCGAAGCCACTAAGAGGTCGCGTTCCTGGGCCCGTCAGAAAGCATACGACGAGGTGTTCCTCAAAGCTCTCGACAAGCTCCCAATCCGGGACCGCAACCGCGTCCCGAAAGCCTTTGCCGCAGCCCAGGAAGCCCAACCCATCAACCCAGAGTCTCACAAGTCGAATTTAGATCATGAGAAAAATTCCGAAGGGTACCCGGGGATCCAGGGTGCCCTCGGGGACTATAACTTTAAGGTTGACTCCCCTTGGGGGTTGGCGTTGTACCGCACCGCGTACAACGACGAGGCTGCGTGGCGGCGGATAGTCACCCAAATCAAGTGCACTGTGGAGATACGGGCACAGGGTTGGGTTAACATGCTTAAGCGGCACCAGCTGGTGATTATGGACGACCAATCACAATTCGACGGCGCGACTATCGACGAGGTCCGAGACCATTTCCGCTGGTGGTCATTGAAGGAGCTGAAGCGCAATTGGCGGCACCCACCTGTGCCCGAGGATGTTCTCGCCAGATTCGGCTGCGGGTGCGATGTCGACGAATGGGACTTTGTGCACGGCGTTGAGCCTGCGCGGTACAACTACTGTTTGGTAGTCGATGATATGTGTCTGGAGTGTGTTGAGTGGATGAGGGATAGGGCCGTGGTGAAGTTGGTCGACAGGACCTGGAAATTTCGCGAGTACGGCCCCGACGACCTGCTGATACCGGGCAAAAATGGAGAAAATTGTTGCTGGGACGGCGGTGTCACAGACTACCCTCATGAGGAGGTGGGCTGGATGTACATGGAAGTGAATGATTACATTACCATGCAAGAGGATCTGGAGGACGCCACCTTCGGCTGGGAGCAAATCTATTGGCGGCCACCTCTCATCAGGGGGCATGGATAGTCATCAACCTTCGTTTGACCCCAGCTCTTCAAGATACTGGCGGAGACTCCTCGGTAAATAGGCAAAGCTCATTGTAATTAACTACCTCACTACCCTCCTCTACACTTGTTCCTGTGGTTTTGTGTTTCCGAGGGCGTAGTTGTCTCAATGATGTGGCGCTCTCGAGGAGCGATTGCAATTGGTGGACATGGCCCTCGCAGAGATGAAAACCGATAACTAAAGTGGGGTATTTGATAGCAACGAAGATGCCACACACAAGGTAACTAAGCTAGTAAATTTCAGTTCGTCACCCCAAAGGCACGTTCCATCCCGTTTCCAGGGGTCAACCTACACAGTAAAACCAGGAACGAGCAAATGGCAAAAGCAGACGGGCGACTTCTCTCGATCGAAATTGGACGAGGGGCAACATCCAAATCCAATGGGTCCAAGAACCGTCTTGCCGTCCGTTTACGCAATACGTCGCCCTGAAACAGCGACCAATTCCGCTCATTGCCGTTTTTGGCCACCCTCCGTGTGATTGCCAGGCTGGGACAAGGTCAACCTTGGACTTGGCGTACAGTGCCATTCGAAACTGCCGATTCGGACAGAACCAACAATTGAGTAGGTTCGTCGAACTTGACACCGCGTGAAATAGTCAACATTCCGATTCCCTGGGCCCCCTCCCTCCTCAGGCCTTCCTCTTTCAGCCAGCTCAGGTCGCTCCAACCCTTGTAGCGGGCGTACATACACAGTAGAAAAATCACATGCGACTCTGCGGCGTCACACTCTTTTGAGAACCATGACTGTTTCGGGTGGGGCGACGTCGCCAATTGGGGTTGCCAATGGTGAGTGTGTCTCTTCGCGAAACGAATCTAGAAATAAAAGAGAGATGGAGGAAAGGGATTTTAGTCGCAATGATGCTGACTCAAGTTCCATGTCCAAGGCTTCCGCCGGCCGAATACTTTCTTTGAAGACTACGGCATCTGGAAGGAGGCACCCGTGCTCATCGGCACCACCAACTTCGAGCCCCGTCCCGATGTCAAGAACATCATGATTACGGGAGGGGCCGGCTTCATGTACGCCCCCTGGACATGATTCGGCCGTGTGCGGAGTGGCTGACCGCGTGCGTGCTAGAGCATGCTGGCTCGTCCGGCACCTCACCCTCACCTACCCGCACGCCTACAACATCATCTCGTTCGACAAGCTGGACTATTGCGCCTCGCTCAACAACACGCGCATCCTCAACGACAGGCGCAACTTTACCTTTTACCAGGGCGACGTGACGAACCCGTCAGAAGTGGTCGACTGCCTGGAACGGTACAACATCGACACCATCTTCCACTTCGCGGCCCAGTCGCACGTCGACCTGAGCTTCGGCAACTCGTACGGCTTCACGCACACCAACGTGTACGGGACGCACGTGCTGCTCGAGAGCGCCAAGAAGGTCGGCATCCGGCGCTTCATCCACGTGTCGACCGACGAGGTGTACGGCGAGGTCAAGGACGGCGACGACGACCTGCTCGAGAGCAGCATCCTGGCCCCCACCAACCCCTACGCCGCCAGCAAGGCCGCCGCCGAGATGCTCGTGCATTCCTACCAAAAGAGCTTCAAGCTCCCCGCCATCATCGTGCGTAGCAACAACGTCTACGGCCCGCACCAGTACCCGGAGAGTACGCACGCACCCCCGCCACATCCCCCCCCCCCTTCCTTTATCATCCACACTAACCCCCCACCTCCCCCCTCCCTCCTCAGAAATTATCCCCAAATTCACGTGCCTCCTCGCACGCCACAAACCGGTCGTCTGCACGGCGACGGCTCGCCCACGCGGCGGTACCTCTACGCGGGTGACGCCGCCGACGCCTTCGACACGATCCTGCACCGGGGCCAGCCCGGGCAGATCTACAACGTGGGGTCGCACGACGAGATCAGCAACGTGGCGCTGTGCCGGCGGCTGCTCGCCGTCATGGGCCTCGCGCAGCAGCACGACGACGACGACGACGACGACGACGACGACGACGCCTTCCGCCGCTGGGTCAAGTACACGCACGACCGGCCCTTCAACGACCACCGCTATGCGGTCGATGCGACCAAGCTGCGCGGGTTGGGGTGGGAGCAGAAGACGGGCTTGGAGGAGGGCCTGCGTGTGACGGTCGAGTGGTATCGCTTGTTTGGGGAGCGCTGGTGGGGGGATATTACGAAAGTGCTGAGTCCGTTTCCTGTCGTGGCCGGTATGGAGGTGCTGTCGGATTCGGAGCCCGTGTCGGATAACCCGCAGGTGGCAGCGGCGGCGGTGAGTCAGGGGGGTGGGAAGGGAGAGGGTGGGAATGGGACGGTGGGAGGGAATGGTGCGGTGGCGAATGGGCTTGGGGGACACCACCACGGGTGAGTGCATTTACACAGTACATATGTTCTTCGTAGGGGGTGGGGGTTGTTTATGTGTTGGATTGTGCGACGTGCACGCTACGTAAATATGGCTTGGAATGGCGTTGGGATTTGGTCACTAGTGGGATTGGATAGCTGATAGCAAACATCCAAGACCCCTTTCTTTCGGCGGAAAGTGTTCCATGGAAGGTCCCGAGCGATTTACCGCGACCCGAGGGACCGGACCGTGGCTGGGTGGCGTGGAACAGGCTGCCAGCACAACGTGGCCCAGTTTGTACCTCGTGTGTCGGATCCGTCTACTTAGTAATTGTCCTGCTGTGCACACCGGCACCGAGCGGCCTTGTTAGCCTGGTGGTTCCACCGGAACGGTCAGGGCACCTTGTGAGATGACACTATGAAATGGGCCGAGACGTGCTTTTTTTTTTTTTTTTTTTTTTTTTTTCACAAGGCTGTATTCGTGCGGACAGTGGCCCTATGTCCGGGACCCGACCCGATGCGGTGTCGGTCGACGACGCTGTGAACGTGGAGTCGCTCTTCGTCGAGTATGGGGGTCAGGGAGGCATGGGGTTGGGGGAACGGGACCGGTCTGCCGGGCCTCGATGAGCGGCAACGGCCGAGCCTCTTGGCAGGACTGGCAATTTTAGACCATGCTCGCCTGCGTCAAGCGAGGGAGCAGGAATTGGGTGAATGGGCAATCAGCTTGGTAAGAGATCGGTTGGCCGCCACCCTCCCTGCGCACTTTATCCGCCTTTTGGGCAGTTTCTCCCCGAAGCGGGCGCAACAAGCCGTCGGTAACGGTCGAGAGCCGAGCCGGATGAGAGAACAAGGGCTCTCATCCGCTTGGATACCGGAATCTTGCTGCGGCTCCACCCCACCGCAGGGACAAAAAATCCCGGCGATTGGGAGAGGAGCCAGTCCTCGATCTGGGCCCCAATTCCCAGCGCCGTGGGAAGGGGTCAAATTTGCTGATGAGTGTGTTTGTCGTGGCAGCGTTTGTTTGGATACCGGAACAAACCCCATGCAGCTCCGGTGCCCCGTCCCCGGTGTTCTCGGCAGCCCACCGAACCATGGCGTCCCGCACCCACGGCACCGTATCCACTGCGCTGAATGGTTCGGGACAAGCCGCTAAAGCACGCACGCACGCTCCAGCGAATGCCAAACGGCGCAGGGCGGGGCCCGCTCTGTTTCGCTGATCTTGGACCGGTTCGGACGGCGCAGCGATGGCACGGCATGCGTGTCCGCGCTGTCGGGTCGGATCTGCTGGGTCGATACCGTGAGGGGGGAAAATGTCCTCTTTCTTATTCTCTTTGGGAGCGGGGGCGTTGTGATGCTCGCGGGATAAGCGGAGCTGGATTTTCACCTTGGCTTGGGTTAGGTCGGCTCGCAATGGAATGAGTTGCTCTCTGATCTCTGGGCCCTGCACAAGATAGCGCGGTTGCGCGGGCGCCGTTGAAAATACTGCCCCGCTTTCCCGACACCCACTTTGTGCGACCGACGCTTCCAGGTTCTTTCCCCATTGTCCATGTCCAGCTCTGTGTACCCGATGTACTTCCATTATTTCTTGCCTGGACTCGGCTGGCAGGGCGCCTCAGGCGGACAAAGAAAAATATGGCTCAAAAATCCCTGCCGATGTCACCGAACACCGGCGGCTTTCGGGGGTGGCATTTGCCCACAGAAGTGTCTCCTTTCACCTGCATTTCCTTCTCTTGCTGACAGTGGTTGTGTGGTGTCTATTGGTCTGTGCGTGAAGGAGCTCGGCTCCGCATCCCTGCATCCCGTCTCCGCCGACGAGGCCGTGGAGCTTGAGAAGACCGACCCGTGCATCCTAAACCGACCTATCGGCGCCATTTTTTGAAAGCCCTGGGATCAGAAATAGAGATGCACGGCGCATCAATTTGGTGTCTCAGTAACAGCGGCAAGGCGAGCGTCTGATGTGTTGGCAGTCGGGACGAGGCAAGAGCAACCACGACGAATCCCACATTCTTCTCTTTTCGAATTCTGCCTCTCTGCTTCATAGGTGGTTTGTTGAAAAGGTCACGGCCTGGCCAGGAGAACCCGGCTAGCGTCTCCGCAGGCTGTCTGGTACCTGGCATGTGGGGCTCAATAGCGGACTGAGCAAGGACTCCAGTGGTACCGCGCCGGCGCCGGCCTGGCACGGGCTCGCTGCATTCCGTTAGTCTCGAGGGCCGCCCGCCCTATTAATTGCGCGCCGAGCCAGACCTTCCCGTCGCCCGTCAGTCTCCGCCCTCGCACGCCGTCAATTTGACTGCATTCCCCTCCTTTCCTCCTTCTCCATCCGACGGACAATGGGGAAGTGACGGAGTGAGACGTTAGAACCCAGCCAGCACCTGGGACGGTAGCGATTCAAGGAGCAGCCCTCGTGCTGATCTCCTCCTCGTCTGCGGTCCGCCTTACGATCCTTCAATAAGAACAGCTGACCGAATCCCCCCCGACCCACGACCCAATTCGAATCCCACGAGCACTCGCACGGCCATCTACGTTTTATACCACCACAGCGCGCTTTCTGGTTCGCGGCCAGACCCCTCCCACCGTCAGCACAGCGGTCGCATGCCTCCGGCCCCCCGGTTGCGCTTCGTCGTCAGCTAGAGTAACCGACGGACCAAACTCATGGAGAAGCGGCGGCATCGGGCGGTCAAACTCAGAGCTACAGGGTGATTATCGGAATAGAGCGCTATGAGTTCGGCGCAAGGCGGGGAATATAGCGGACCACAGGGCGCGCAATCAGGGAACCATCCATTCGCCCACCAACCACCGACGGACTCGACATCACCCGGCTCCCAGACACCCCACGAGGGCACCATCGAAATCGACGAGAGCTACCTGTCTCCCGAAGTTCGGGCGTTGTTGGAACAGAGCTCCGGGACGACGGGCTTAGAGGTGGACGAGGACGAAAACGGAGGCGAAGGGTACGACGGTTACGAAGAAGCGGACGAGGACGAAGAACCAAGACCCGCCCAGTCCGTTTACGCTATGAGCATGTATCCCAGCGTTGGGCCTGCCTACCAGGTCGAGCACCCGTATGAGAACGGGCAAGACTCGGCTACCATGTGCGTACCCCATTTTCCCGCGCAGCTCAGCTCAGGCATAAAAAAAAGAAAGAAAAAAATACTAACTCTACACCAGCGATTCGGCGCGAACGTTATATGCCGAGGACTTTGACTTCGTTGTGGAAAATGGGCGGCAATATTGCGGGGACTACTTCTTGCCCATTGACCAGACGGAACAAACGCGCCAATATGTCATCCACCAGGTCTTCCTCAAGCTCTTCAACCTCGAGCTGACGACGGTGCCATTGGAGAACCCACGCTACATTCTCGACGTCGGGACGGGGATAGGCGAGTGGGCTATCGGAATGGCCGAGAAGTACCCGCAATGCGAGGTTTTTGGCACCGACATTGCGCCCATCCAACCCACACAGCAGGTTCCGTTCAACATCGAATTCCATATTGAGAATGCCGAGGAGGAATGGATCCGTCCAGCAAATGCGGTTGACCTGGTGCATCTACGTAACCTGCAAGGCGCCTTCTCTGATTGGCACTTCATCTACAATCAAGCATTTGCATGCATAAAACCAGGGGGTTGGATCGAGGTAATCGACTGGGAAGACTTCTTCGCCGACGAAAACTACCTCACCTTTTATCCCGAAGGCTCCGCGCCGCACGTCTTCACCAAGGCCGTGCTTGACGCCGCCGAACTGGCCGGCAAACCTCGTGATTCCCAGCACCTCAAGAAAGAACGGCTGCTCGAGGCCGGTTTTGTCGACATCCAAGAGTCGGTGTATGACCTGGGCATCGGGTCGCGCGAGAGCAGCAGCTACGGCAAGTTCTGGCTCTTCTCGCTCGTCACGGGCATCGAGGCGACCAGCCTGCGCCTGCTCACCAAGTACCTCGGCTGGGAGGCCAGCGAGGTGCGCGAGATATGCGAGAAGGTGGCCCGAGAGACCAAGCTGGTGGCCGAAGACCCCGATCGGGTGGACGCGTTCGTCATCAAGCTCCGCGTGGTTACCGCGAGGAAGCCTTTGGATGCGGGTCACTGCGCGGGCCAGCGGATGAATGAAAATGGGGATATGAAAGACAACAGCGGGGATGACAGCACGATTGGGGGGAGGACAATACGGTCTGAGGGGACGGCATGAAAAGAAAGGGGAGTGACACTAGGAGACCATGACTTACAGCTACCCGCGGACGGTTTTGGATTTGCGGGAGTACGAATTTTCGACGTCAAATGAGGGAGAAAGCAGATCCCCATTCTACTTGGTTTTACTTTTTTTTTTTTCTTCTTGTTATTTTTACCTTTTTCTGGAGATACCCGACTGGTCTTTTAGGTGTACATAGCTTGCCTCGGGATTGCATGACTGGATCACTGGGAACCAGGGTAATGATAGTCAGCAGTTATTACACGCATCTCTTCATACTTGATTGCGGATGAGGATGTGAGGAGGGTTGAAGTGTAAAATGCGGCCAAAATGTGTTTGTTACATGTCCTTGTAATCCTGCGACCATGGATCAAGGGTTGCTCCAAGCTCCCAACACCGGCAGGCAGCGTTGTGGGGAACCCGAAGTTGGGGATGACGCACTGACGCCTGAGCATGGTGCTGTATGTACTTCGTACTGCATGGATCCATCCTCCTTCAACCTCAAGTTGCACAACACCAACTGAGCTTCGGTCCACTCCCCTGGGAACCGATTCAGGCAGCGATTAGTCCCTGTGACCGCGAAACCAAGCCGTTTAGAGCTCCCACCATGCGAAGCGCCTAAAAGCGACACTCCACGATGGCGCTCGATCCGTCCAGCGGCTTCGCGGCAGCCGACGCCGTGCCCGACCTCGCCGACGCAGCCCTGCCCATCTTCGACGTCCTCCCCGTCCAGCTCCAATTCTCCATCGCCGCCGACTTTGTCGCGGGCCAGGCCGCCAACAATGTTCTAGTCATTGCCCTCTCTAACGGCCGCATCCTACGCATCGATCTCAACAAACCCGAAGACATCGACGGTATGGCCCCAACACCCCACCCCCTTCCCGCCTCCCTCTCCTCCCTCTCCTCCCTTCCCATTAACCATCAACCCTCAACCCCACCACTAACAAACTACCTCTCGAACCCACTCAGACATCGACCTCCCCAAAAACCCACCGAAACCGGGCGTGATCCGGCCGCATGTTCCTCGACCCCACCGCCTCGCACCTGCTCATCTGCATGGCCCTCGGCGAGAACTACTACCTGCACTCGCAGTCGCGCACGCCACGCCCGCTGGCCCGCCTGCGCGGCGTCGCCATTGAGTCGGTCGCCTGGAGCCCCGCCCTGCCCACCTCCTCCACCCGCGAGATCCTGCTCGGCGCCGCCGACGGCAACGTCTACGAGGCCTCGGTCGAGACCTCGACCGAGTTCTATCGCAAGGAGGATAAGTATGTGAAGCTGCTGCACAAGTTGCCCGATGGGGCGGTGACCGGGTTGTGGGTGGATGTATTGCCGGGGTCGGGGTCGGGGCCGATAGGTGGGGGTGGTGGGGGTGGTGGTGGTGGTGGTGGTGTGGGGGGGAAGGGGCAGGAGGTGAGGCGCGTGGTGATTGCGACGCAGAGTAGGCTGTTTCATCTCGTGGGAAAGGTGGGCAAGGGGAATGATGGGAGTGCGTCGATATACTCGAGGCTGTTTGAGAGTGAGCAGCCGGTTGTTCATGAATTGACGAGGGCGTCGACCGCCGCCGCGTCCATGCTCGCCGTCTCGCCCGATGTGGAAGACGTGCCGCGGTTCCGGGGGGACGAGGAGCTTGCCGAGCGGGCGTTTGCGTGGCTGTCGTCGCATGGCGTGTACCATGGGAAGTTGCTAATGGATGGGACCGGCGCCGAGTTGGGGAATAAGGTGTTTGCTGAGGCGAAGCTGCTCCCGAGGGCCCAGTTGGCGAATCCCGAGGCGGCGGGAAGGCGGCAGGTGTCAACCGAGTACATTGACGCAATCGCCCTTACACAATGGCATGTTGTCTGCCTAGTTGGGACGCGCGTCGTGGTGGCTAATAGGCTGACGGGGTCGGTGGTCTACGACCAAACTATCTTGGACCCGGGGCAAAAGGCAGTTGGCCTGTGTGTGGACCTCCAAAAGAACACCTTTTGGCTATTCACGCCCCAGGAGATTTTCGAGATCGTTCCTCGCGACGAGGATAGGGATATCTGGAAGATTATGTTACAGATGCAGCAGTTCGACACTGCGCTCCAGTATGCGCACACGCCGGCGCAGAAAGATGCCGTTGCAATCGCTTCAGGAGACTACCTCGTGAGCAAGGGGCAACACAGCGATGCCGCGGGCGTCTACGGCAGGAGCAGCAAGCCGTTCGAAGAGGTGGCGCTCACGTTTATTGACAACGAGCAACCGGACGCGCTTCGCAAGTATCTCATGACCAAGCTCAGCACGTACAAGAAGTCGTCGGTCATGCAGAGGGTCATGATCGCGGCGTGGTTGGTCGAGGTGTTTATGGCCAAGCTCAACTCACTCGACGACACTATCGTCACTGGGGCAGAGCTGTCCGACACGCTGAATCCGACACAGACGAGGGAACAGCTAGACTCGGTTCGAGCCGAGTTCCAGGACTTTGTGAACAAGCACAAGTCCGATCTCGACCAGAAGACAGTCTATGATGTTATCAGCAGCCATGGTCGGGAAGAAGAGCTTCTCTTTTATGCCAACGCTGTGAACGATTACAACTACGTCCTCTCGTACTGGGTTCAACGAGAGAGGTGGTCAGAAGCGCTGAGGGTATTAAAAAAGCAAACCGACGCCGAGGTTTTCTATCGGTATAGCAGCGTGCTTATGACGCACGCGGCTACGGAGCTAGTCGAGATCCTGATGCGGCAGAGTAACCTCAACTCGCGGAGCCTCATCCCCGCCATGCTCGAGTATGACCGCCACTACAAGGGGCCACTGGCCCAAAACCAGGCCATTCGGTATCTGCAGTACGTGGTCAACCAACTCAACTCGGCTGACTCGGCCGTACACAACACCCTCGTCTCCATCTACGCCTCCCACCCGTCCAAGGACGAATCCGCACTCCTCTCGTACCTCGAATCCCAAGGCGACGAACCAAAATTCGACCCAGACTTTGCGCTCCGCCTCTGCATCCAGCACCGCCGCGTCCTCTCGTGCGCCCGAATCTATACCAGCATGGGTCAGTACGTGCAGGCCGTCGACCTCGCCCTCTCGCACGACGAAGTCGAGCTAGCATCTATCATCGCGGACCGACCCATGTCCAACCCACCCCTGCGGAAGAAGCTCTGGCTAGCAGTCGCCAAGAAGGTCATCTCCCAACAGTCCGGCGGCATCAAGACGGCCATCGAGTTCCTCAAGCGCTGCGACCTCCTCAAGATTGAGGATCTCATCCCCTTCTTCCCCGATTTCGTCGTCATCGATGACTTCAAGGAGGAGATCTGCGCGGCGCTCGAGGACTACAGCCGCAACATTGATGCACTGCGGCGCGAGATGGACGAGTCGAGCCAGACAGCGGCCAACATCAAGGTCGACATTGCGGCGCTCGACAGGCGGTACGCCATCGTCGAGCCCGGCGAGAAGTGCTACGCCTGCGGCCTGCCGCTGCTGAGCAGGCAGTTCTTTGTGTTCCCCTGCCAGCACGCTTTCCACTCAGACTGCCTGGGCCGGCGGGTGCTGGAGCAGAGCGGCGCGGCCAAGGCGCGGCGGATTAAGGAGTGCCAAGTGCAGATTAGTAAGGGGTTGGTTGGAGGGGAGAAGAGAGAGGCTATGATTGCCGAGCTGGATGCGTTGGTTGCTTCGGCGTGGTGAGTTCTTTTTATTGGAAATAACAGGGTGGTATTGATACTAACGTGGCAATAGTATTCTATGCAGCGACTATGCGATCCGGAGGATAAATGAACCGTTTATCAAGGAGGGGGAAGACACAGAGGAGTGGGCATTATAAAAGGCGCTCCAGCCGGCGGCAAGAGTGCGGGTTTGCATAACACATAAAGATGTAAAGTGGCAAGAGAGGGAGAGAGACGGACAAGCTGATACCCAATACGCACATGATGCCAAACTACGCGTTCCACCCAACCACTCCTCTTTCTGCACACACCATGTGATTATTCGCTATCCCATCCTATCAAAACCTTATCATGCCCCAGCACCCTACCATGCGTCTGCCCACCCACCCTACCTACCTTCCACTCTTCTAGTTTATAGGGGGGACGCGGTCACACCCCGGCTTCGACTTTGGCCGGCATCAAGATCGAC